CCAGGCTCAGCACCCCCAGGATCAGCACCCCCAGGCTCAGCACCCCTAGGCTCAGCACCCCTAGGCTCAGCACCCCTAGGCTCAGCACCCCTAGGCTCAGCACCCCCAGACGTAGCACCCCCAGGCCCAGCACCCCTAGGCTCCGCACCCCCAGGTACAGCACCCCCAGCCTCAGCACCCTCAGCAGCACCAGAGTCACCAGTGACCTCGACAGGCTCGACTGCGTCTACCTGGGACACACCTGAAGGGGCAGGACCCTGAGGGGGGAGGGGGTCTACCTGGGGGGGACCTGGTACCAGGAAGAGTGGGGGTGGGGGGAGGGACGGAGTGCGGTAGGGGAAGAGGCGGTAGTAGGGGACCGACTCGTCAAACGTGACGTCCTGGGAGGACAGAACACGGCGAGAGGTGGGGTGGTAAAACTGCCACCCAGGCGCGTCAGGGGGGAACCCCAGGAAGACGCAAGGAGCAGCACGAGGGGATAGTTTGTCCGCAGACAGGTCGCGGACAAACGCCCGAGATCCCCAGACCCGGAACGCCGACGCATCGCCAACCTTCCCCGTCCACAGCAAGGCTGGGGAGGTCTCCGGCCTGGAGACCCTGGGGTGGAGGTTGATCTGATGCGCCGCGTACCTCACCGCAAACGGCCACAGAAAATGGGGGGCAGCCGCATGCATCATAGACGTACGAGCGACGTCCATGACCATGCCAATGCGGCGCTCAGCAATCCCATTTTGCTGCGGTGAGTCCGGAAGCGTGAAGGTCTGACGGATGCCCCGTGCACGACAGTAGGCACGCAGAAGGCCAGAGGAGAACTCTCCGCCTCTGTCCGAGTGCAGACGCAGAACAGGAAAGTCCGAGCCGAAGCTCTGCCTGAGCTGGAGACGAGCTGCGCGGATCCAGTCGATCAGCACCTCAGTGACATCACCCTTGCTGCGCAAGGGGAAGACTGTGGTGTAACGCGAGTAGTCGTCAACAACGAGCAGGAAGTAGCGCTCGTGACCCTGTCCACGGACGCGGGCTGGGCCCCACACGTCCATGTGAAGTGTCTGCAACGGGGCCTCTGTCGAAGGAAACTGGGAGGAGTGAGGGGCAGCACGCTGGCGCCCCTCGACACAGGGGACACAGGCAGGGCCAGGGCCCTGAGGAAGGGGAGGGAGGGACCGGGGGAGACCGGACACAAGAAGACGGGAGGCCATACCTCTGAGCCGAAGCAGAGAGGGGTGGCCAAGGCGGTGGTGCCAGAGGAGAGTCTCGTGAGACAGGAGACGACACGAACAGGGGGCAGACTCAGGACCAGACCTGGACGCCGCAGCAAACACCTGACCCGACGTAACTACCCTACCAGACTCAGCAACTGGAGGAGACGCAGTGGTCAGAGTGTACAGGCTCGACCCCGGCTGACGGGTGAACGTAGCCAGGTGTCGGCCCGTGCCAGCCTCTGTACAGTGGGTCACTCGCTGACGTGCAGGAGTGAACTGGTGGACACCCGCATCCTGTAGGTCAGCACCACTCACCAGGTTCGTCGAGAACGAGGGGAGGTAGAGACCAGACAGGGTGCCAGAGGGAGCCGCCGGACACGGGAGGACTGTGGAGAAACGAGACAGGACCGGACCCCCAGAGGGGTCAGCTAGAGACACCGCAACCGGCCGACTAAGCGGCGTGAGTGTGGTGCGGTCCCGAAAGAAGGAGCGAGACGCCCCAGAGTCAAGAGTGAAGGTGAGGGAGGCCGAAGCCGACGCGGTACCTGAGAGAGCAGACTCACCAGTACCTGAGGACGCAGACACACAAGAACCTAGAGCAGCAGCGTCGTAAGCACCTAGGGCAGCAGCCTCACCAGTACCTAGAGCAGCAGTCTCAATGCCCGGATCGGGCTGGAAACACCGGTAACAGTCACCCTCATCACTAATAGACACAGCATACATGGCAGAGAGAATAGCATCAAAGTCCAGATCAAAGATGGCAACCCCCGCCCTAGACAGCTCGTCCCAGCGAGGGATCTCGGAGCCGCAGGTAGGGGCGGCGCGAAGCCGCGGGAAGGGCGGCGACGGGCCTGGGCGGCGCGAAGCCGCAGGTAGGGGCGGCGCGAAGCCGCCGGTGAGGGCGGCGCAAAGCCGCGGGTAAGGGCGGCGACGGGCCGGGAAAAGGGTGGCGCGCCGCAGCCGCTAGGGCGGCTCGACGCGACCGTAAGGGCGGCGCGACGGGCCGCTAGGTGCGACTCGACGGGCCGCTAAAAAAAAAAGGCAGGCGCGACTCGAGGCGCGCTTCGGTGGGCCCAAGGAACAGTCCCTAGGAGGGGACCTGCTCTGATTCCATGTGAAAATGAGAACGAGAATGGGTGAACTATGAGAATGAAGTGAGTACAAATATGAAACCCTAATTGGTTGTACCCCCTATGGGATACCCCACTATAGCCTACACAACAGCATAAGCTATAATGTTCTGACACCTGCTGCTGTTCCTGCTGCTGTTGCTGCTTCTGTTTGTTGCTGCTGTTGTTGTTGCTGTTGTTGTTGCTGTTGTTGTTGCTGTTGCTGTTCTGTTGCTGCTGCTGCTGTTGCTGCTGCTGTTGCTGCTGCTGTTGCTGCTGTTGTTGCTGTTGCTGTTGCTGCTGTTGTTGTTGCTGTTGTTCTTGCTGCTGCTCCTGCTGCTGCTGCTGCTGCTGTTGCTGTTGCTGTTGTTGTTGTTCTTGTTGTTCTTGTTGTTGTTGTTGTTGTTGTTGTTGTTGTTGTTGTTGTTGTTGTTGTTGTTGTTGTTGTTGTTGTTGTTGTTGTTGTTGTTGTTGTTGTTGTTGTTGTTGTTGTTGTTGTTGTTGTTGTTGTTGTTGTTGCGTTTGTTGTTATGGAGTGTCTTATGAGTTGTGCCAAATGTCCAACAAAAAATCAGCTCAATCCAATAAAAATATGTATGTAAATTAGAATCGCAAATAATTATTTTTTAATGGTCACCCTTTTATGCGTAAACCAAGTAAGGGACGGAATTTGTGCTGAAAATATAAGACACGAACCATTATGATGCTTTTAAAGATTACAAGGAGAATCTCTTCCAAGCTACAATATTAACAAAATGTCATAAAACAAGTTATACGAAATGTACAAGTCGATAAATTGCAACAGTTCAAACAATCGAATTCAGCTCCTCCCTCCGATATCGAGATCCAAATTCCTGGGAAGGCGCAGCCCATGATTGGTTCGCAATCAATCAAAGGCATTTCCAAGCCTCTGCCAAACCGAACAGTCACCACCCGTGCCTCGAAAACAGTACAAACCCAACCAGATTTCGGACGAACCCTGTGGCTACACGCAAACAACTCGCCCGAAAACCTAGGAAGTAGCCAACCATTGGCCAACTCTATAGGTTTGCGAGGCGAAGGCTACTCTATAGGTTTCCCCCCCCCATTTGCCAGCACGAAAACTACTCAAGCTAGTTTTGCGATGTTGTGGTTTCACATTCATCCAATCTATCATAGGAGCCGCGAAAGTGGATAGAACACGATTGTTCGATATAAAGAGATGGGCTATGTCCTATAGAGTAGCTGGTTCGAGGAACACTATTCAGACTGTAGCAGGTGTAGAGCTAATGGGGCAACTGACCGCCAGTTCTGTGATGCGATTCTGACCCCTATCCCAAACACTGGAAATCGTGGCCACGCCACACAGCCGTTTTGTCCTCCGGTCCCGTCAATCGATTTGGAAGGAAAGGAATTTTGAGGGTTACTTTTTGTATGTGTAGATATAAACCTGTGAACCCTGTCGTACCACGCTGGAACAATCTATACCACGTGATACCCAGCTTTCAACAGTCCGAGACTTGAAAATGGCTGCACTGCAGAACGGAGTTTCCAAGGTTTCTAGAGACTTCCGGCCTTCTTGCGAAGCTCATTTCAGGTTCTTTTCCTTGGCTGTATATATGGGCGAAGAAGCAGAGACAGACGTACGGTACACTGCACTCTTCGCCTTTGACTCTCGTCTGTCTCCCCACTTGGCAGCACTGTGGTTCTGCTCCTTGGTGTTGGTTCTGCTCTGCGCTTGGGCAGGGCATATTTCTCATCGCTGGCAACTGCGGCTCTCTCGCCTGAGTCACCTCCTCGTTCGTCCAGCAAGCAAGCACTCGCGCCACTTCTCGCGCCGAGTCGCCTAGCCTCCTCGTTCCTTACAGCCGACGATGTGGTTTTGTGTGATAAGCTCCTGATCCATTCCTGGCGTAACTAAGAAATAGGAGGGGGACGGTGGAGAGGCGTACACGCAAAGCTGGACTGGAATCCTCCTGCCTTCACAATCGCAGCTGCCTTAGCTTACACAATAATCCAGGACTAGGCTTTGCCCTCCGCATTTCGTCCTCAAACCCGACCTTACCGAATCTCTCGTTTTCCTCTGCCGTGTACCAGTCGCACCTAGTCTTGAAGCCTGCACTATTCTTGAGGCAACTCATTGTCCAAAATAGCAGCTGTATCAGACACGGTGGCCTGTTGTCAGTCTTCACCTACTGCTAAAATATATTCCGTCAACGACTTTTCGTCAATGATATTACGGCAGCCGCAGCTGAATCATCGTCCGAAAGCGAAGTGACTGGAGATAATTTCAGCTCACATGACATCAGCTACGCGGACCCGTACGAGTAACTTTTTCGTTCTTCGCCCATTTCGCACGACTCTCATTCGCAGCCTGGACTCTAGCCTCGGCTTACAGGAAGTTCCCCAGGCAAGTTGCAAGTATCAGAAGCAAGCTGAATAATCGCAAGCATATCTGAAAGCCAGGAAGTCCGACAGAGCTGATACTGCACCGGATATCAGCTGTTAGGCCGATCGACCGACCTCCTATCCAATCAGCCGACCTCCTATCCAATCAGCCGACCTCCTATCCAATCAGCCGACCTCCTATCCAATCAGCCGACCTCCTATCCAATCAGCCGACCTCCTATCCAATCAGCCGACCTCCTATCCAATCAGCCGACCTCCTATCCAATCAGCCGACCTCCTATCCAATCAGCCCGCCGCTGTTCTCATGTTTCCGCATCGCGGCAGTGCAGCACCAACCGTCCCGCCATTCCTCTCCGCACCCCCGTCCCACTCCCAAGCCCCTACCATGTCCCTCGAGCCTCTCTCTCTCGCCTCCCTCCTCTCCCTCCCCGTCGAAGCGGTCTCCGCGAAGCTTCGCTCCACGCCGCCCGCGCATTTGGAGCAGCTGCGCGTCTCGCTATGGGACATCCTCGGCACGCCCGACCGCAAGCCGGAGTTCCTCTCCCTGCAGCGCCTGCTTATAACGCGTACGGGCGCCGGCGCGGGTCTCACCACAGAGTCCCTTTCCCGCGCGCACTACACGCATCTTAAGATCCTCGTCGCGGTTCGGACCGGCATCCAGGCGTTTCTACACCCCGATATCGCCATCCCGCCGACGTCTTTAATCGAAATCTTCCTCCGCCGCCGCTGTCAGAACATGGCCTGCCAGAGCCCGCTTCCCGCGGGCGGCTGCCGCTGTCGTTTCTGCACGACGGGCAACGGCGAACCGGGGGGATCCGGCCGGGCGGGAGCAGAAGGGGGAGCGACAAATACCTCCGGGATTTCCGGCACCACGAGCGCCAACACCACGGGTGCTATTACCAGGGGTAACTCAGGGGCAGGCACTAGCGCTGGTATTGCTTCTAGCACGGAAATTGGCGGGGGATTTTGCAATTTGTGCATGTGTGTCGCATGCGGGAAATTCGATTTTGACACCAACACGTGTCGTTGGATAGGATGCGATTTTTGTCTGCACTGGTGCCACACGGACTGCGCGCTCCACATGGGGTTCGTGCGCCATGGCGCAGTGGGGGCGGGGGGAAGCGCGGGCGGCGCGGGGGGAAGAGGCGGAGGGCAGGGGGCTGCGGAGGGGTCCGCGCAGGGCGGGCAATCCGCGGACGGGGCGAGCGCGGGGACGAGCGCGCAATTCGCGTGCCCCGCGTGCGCGCGGTCGTCGGAGCTGTTTGGGTTCGTGCGCGACGTGTTCCGCCTGTGCTCCGCGCAGTGGGACGCGGAGGCCGCGCGCAGGGAGCTGGAGTGCGTGGGGGGGATCTTCGGCGCGAGCACGGACGCGCTCGGGCGCGAGCTTGCGCGGAGGGCGGCGCTGGCGCTGAGGGAGCTGCGGGAGGGGCGCAGGGCGTGCGCGGATATCTGTCGCGACATGCAGCTGTTTTTCGCCAGCAGTGAGTGGGATGGGGTGGGTGTCGTTTGGCTTGCGTGTATTCAAGCCGCCCTTTACAGAAGGTTACATATGGGGTTTGTTTCTGTGGCGCTTGGAAGTTAGGGTTAGGGTATGTTTGCTCCCATGTTCTCTCGTGTGCTCTCGTGTGCTCTCTCTGTGCTCTAACAGTTGATACGCTGTCCCGATCTGCTGTGTCGTATCAACTCACCACTGTTGTTTTTATTCGACCCATTGTCGTTTACCTTTACCTTTGCCTTTCGCCAGTACTGTACTCACTTGCTTCCTGCATCCTGCTCGACTGGTTTTCGCCATCCCCATCCCTTCGTCCCGCAGGCGCCTCGTTCGTCCCTGCTCCTCCCAATCCTGCCACCCCCGCCGCTTCAGCTGCTTCTGCTCCTCACCCTCCCCCAGCAATGGCGGCTCCCTCTCCTGCTCTTCCCGTCGCCGCTTCTGCTCCCATTGCTGCCCCTCCTGCTCCTGCTCCTCCTCCTCCTCCTCCTCCTCCTCCTCCTGCTGCTTCTGCTGCCGCTTCTCCCATCCCTTCTATGGGCCCAGGTGTCTCCGCCACAGGCTCGGCCAGACCTGCTCCGGGGCTTCCCAGTCCAGGTTCGGGCCATACCAGACTCAGCTCCGGCCCCACCGCGCCCACATCAGCGCTTTCCAAACCCCCGTCGTTGCCTCGGTACCAATCCAGCCTGGAAGCAGCGCGAGAGGCTCTGGCGGAATGCCATAGGGACGTGCTAGGGAAGCGGAAAGAGGCAGCAGCGGTTGAGGAGGAGCGAGCGCGGAAGAAATGGCAGGTTCAGGAGCTAGAAGCGGTTGCTGCGTCGCGATTTGCCGACGCGGAACGAATGGAGAGAGAAGCGGCGGAGGCGAGGAAAGAGGTCGAGGTGCTGAAGATGATTATATCGGTGAAAAAAACGACTTCGGAGGAGGAATTTCGGCGGAGAGGGGTGGATTTGGCTTTGGAGGAGGCAGAAGCTAAGTATAGGAAGATGCTGGGGGTGGTGCAGGCGTTGGAAAGGGAAGACGGGCAGGGGGGGAGTGAGAGGGGGAAGGAAAGGGATAGGGAGAGGGAGAGGGAGGGGGAAAGGGAGCGGGAGAGGGGAAGAGAGAGGGGAAGAGAGATGGGAGGTGAGAGGGGAAGAGAGAGTGAGGCTTCGTGGCCGCACATGCAGGATCAGAACAAACAGCAGCAGCAGCAGCTACAGCAGCAGCGACAGCACCAGCAGCAACAGCAACAGCAGCAACCGCAGCAGCACCAGCTGCACCAGATGCAGCAGCAGCAGCAGCAGCAACAGCATCAGATGCAGCAACAGCAGCAGCAGCATCACCAGCAACAGTCGAATCAACAGCAGCAACACCATAATCAGTTTCAGCAGCAACAGCAGCAGCAGCAGCAGCAGCAGCAGCAGCAGCAACAGCTACAACAGCAGCACCGGAATCATTTTCAGCAGCACCAGCAGCAACAGCGGCAGCAGCAGCAGCAGCAGCAGCAGCAGCAGCAGCAGCAGCAGCAGGCGTGGCAAATGCAGCATGCGATGCAGCAGCAGCAATCGAGGATGGGTGGTGGGCCTAGTAACGAGCCTCTTCCTAACAGCAGCCAAGGGCTCACACGAGGGACAGCACCCCACGGAGCATCACAGATCCCACCAGCACAGGCAACACAAGGAGCACAAGCAGTGCAAGCAGTACCGGCGTTGCAAGCAACACGAGCAGCACCGGCGTTACATGCAGGGCCGGTAAGGCAGCGAGCGGATGAGCAAGGAACGGCTGAGAGGGCCACAGAGAGGGTAACAGAGAGGGCACCAACTGCCCAGCAAGTCGCAGCACAGCAGGTGGCTGAGGAGGTTCAGACTGCCAGGCAGCTAGCCCGACAGCAAGTCGCACTAGAGCAGCAGAAGCAGCAGCAGAGGCAACTGCAGCAGCAGCAGCAGCAGCAGCAACGGCAGTATCAGCACGGGCAGCAGCAGCAGCAGCAGAAGCAGCAGCAGCAGCAGCAACAGCAGCAGTATAGGGGGGAGGACGGGAAGAGCAGTGGGGGGAGGAGGTTGGGCGTGGAGTTAGGGGGCGAAGACGGCAGGGGGGGCGACGAGGGAGAGGGAGAGGGAAGGAAGGAGAAGGTTCCTTGGTGGAAGTCAGAGGCGGGTAGGGGTGGAGAGCGGTTGACAGACATGAACGAGGAGGCAGATGGGATTGGGCAGGAACAGCAGAATCAGCAGCAGCAGCAGCAACAGCAGCAGAATTTGCAGCACCAGCATCAGAATCAGCTGCTGCTGCAGCAAAGGCGATTGGATCTGCAACAGCAGCTGCAGCAGTTGCAGCAGCAGGGGCAGGGGCAAGGGCAGGGGCAAGGGCAGGGGCAGGGGCAGAAGAAGCGGAAACGGCTTGTTTTGGACTTAGAAGCTGACACTGTAGAAGAGCAGGAGGAGGAGATGGAGGAGGAGGAGGAAGGGGGAACGGGGAAGCACCGTTCAAAGCAGCAGCTGCTACAGCCGCATGAGCAGAACTTGCAGGGGAGAGAGTGGCAACGGGAGCAGCGTGAACAGCAGGCGCAGTGGGAGCGGCAGGGGAGGCAGGAGCAGTGGGAACAGCAGGGGAGACAAGGGCAGCGGGAGCAGGAGGGACAGAGGGAGCAGCAGGAACAGCAGGGACAGCGGGAGCAGCAGGAGCAGCGGGAACAGCAGGGGGGACAGGAGCAGCGGGAGCAGCGGGAGAGGCGGGAGCAGAGGGAGCAGCAGGAGCAGCAGTGGAGGCTGGAGCAGCGGGAACAGCAGGGGCAGGAAAAGCGGCAGCAGCAACAGCAAAGTGTGGATCCGAGTAGTTATGAAGACAACAGGAGGCAATCACAGTTTAATGCTGTTACAACAGCCGAAAGACAGGGTTCGGAAGGGAGGTACCTGACCGGGACAAATGGGGCTGCTTGGAAGGAGAAGGAGAAGGGAATGGAAGAGGAGAGGGAGAGGGAGAAGGAGAGGGGGAGGGAGAGGGAGAAGGAGAGGGAGATGGAGAGGGAGAAGGAGAGGGAGAGGAAGAGGGAGAAGGAGAAGGAGAGGGAGAGGGAACGGGAGAGGGATATTGAGAAAGAGAGAGAGAAGGAATGGGAGAGGGAGAGGGAGAAGGAGAAGGGGAAGGAGAGGGAGAGGGAGAGGGAGAGGGAGAGGGAGAAGGAGAAGGATAAGGAGAAGGAGAGGGAGAAGGAGAGGGAGAGGGAAAGGGAAAGGGAACGGGAGAGGGAGAGGGAGAGGGAGAGGGAGAGGGAGAGGGAGAAGGAGAGGGAGAAGGAGAGGGAGAAGGAGAGGGAGAGGGAGAGGGAGAAGGAGGAGGAGGAGAGAGTGAAGGAGAGGGAGAGAGAGAGGGAGAGGGAGTGGGAGAAGGAGAGGGAGAAGGAGAGGGAGAGTGAGGGGGAGAGAAAGAAGGACAAGGAGAAGGGGAATGATGATATGGAGGTAGAAGACAGGGGGGCCAGAATGATTAGGAAGGAGAGGCAGGAGGGAAGAGAGAGAGATGGGAGTGGGAAGGAGAGTGATCATATGGGGGGAGAAGGCACCAGGCAGGAGAGGCAGGAAAAGGAGAATGATTATATGGATGTAGAAGAAGGTGGGGCGAGGAATCTGAGGCAGGAGGGAAGAGAGAGGGGTGGGAGTGGGAAGGATCAGGGAGGCAGCAGAGACAAGGAAGAAAACGAAGGAGCAATCAGAGAGGGAAAGGGACCTGTGGGCTTGAAGGGACCCGCAGAGGAAGAGGGCATCACCGAAAGCCAGAGATTAAAGGATTCAAAAGGGCACGACCATTCGGCACAGGTGATTTCAACTGTGTCAACTCTGTCGAAGCAGCCTGAGTCAAGCCAAGTTGAAGCAGGCTCTGCCTCCCCAGGGAGGCGTGATGAAGAGGGCGTGTCAAGGGATGGGTTTCTTGCGGTTGAGAGGGATAAGGAGAGGCAGGATGAAAAGGTCAAGGATATGGGTGAGCGGAAGGAGAAGCGTGGGCACAAGGATGGTATGAAAGGTCATGATGAGGGTCACAAGACTTCTGCTGCTTTGCAAGAGGGGCGACAGGTGCAAGAGGGGGAAAAGGAGCGACAGGGGCAAGAGATGCGAGAGGGGGAAAAGAGGGGACAGGGACGAGAGGAGCAAAGAGGGAAAGAGGGACGAGAATGGGGTCTGACAGATAGTGAGGTGCGGAGACTGGCAGATGAAAAGAAGGCAGGTAAAGAGAAGGCAGATGAAGAGAAGGCATCTGGGGAAGGTACAGCTGGGGAAGGTACAGGTGGGGAAGGTACAGGTGGGGAAGGTACAGGTGGGAAAGGAGGTGTTGCTGAGAAGGAAGGTGCTTCTTCCGACAGCGATGTGGAAGAGGTGGAAGTGGAGAGTGGTGCAGAGCGGTTGAGTGAGAGAAAACGGGTCGAGGCAGCAGGTGAAGGAACAGTGGCTAGGGAGAAAGGGCAGAGGGAGAAGGGGGAGAAGGAAAAGGGGGAGAAGGGGGAGAGGGAGAGGGGCGAAGCTGGAAGGGAGGGGAAGGGGGATGAGGAGAAGGATGGGAAGAGAGAAGGGGAAGGGAATGGGGGTTTATCGGTCAAGAGAAAATCGAGTGTGGATGGTGCTTCTGGTAGTTCTGGCACTGATGGTGGCTTGGATAAAGTGAGGTCAGGAGGAGTGGGGAAGGAAGGTAAGGAGTTGAAGGAAGGGGAAAAGGAGAATGGACGCGGGGGGGAAGGAGAGGGGTAGAGGGAAGGAGGGAAGGGAAGGGAGGAGAGTGAGTGAGGATCGGTGAAGGTCAAACTAGAAAATGTGCAATCTGTGGGAGAGGGAGGAAGGGGAGAGTCAAACCAGAAGTACTCTTGCAGAGGAAGTTTGCATGATGAGGAAAGGAAGGAGCTGGCCATGTGAGCAGGTTACAAGGCGTATGGGGTACCGGAGAGGAGAGCTTGAAACGAGAGGGCTGTGTATAGTGTCTTACGTGGGGATATGGTAGATTGGCGATTTGTTGTATGGTATGGTGGTATGTATATGTAGATAGTGTCCATACCATCATTTGAATGGGCTACTGCTGTGATGGTACTGCTAGTTGGCACTCCATATGTGCAATCTTGATAGGGCCAATCGGATATTTGCTACTGTTTCATGAATAAACTCAGCTTGTTGCTTATATATTCTTCTTTGTTCAGAAATAAAGTCTTTAGTGGCAAAACTGTAGAAAAGACGCCCAATGTCATATTCCATCACAACCACTAGTTTCAGGGTGGTTGTACGCGATTGTGGCATCGCGTGGGGAATACAGTAACAATGGAAACGCGCCCACTCCCGTCCCGTCTTTTCCTGATCGCTCCTCTCTCGTTTCGACACCCACATAACTGCTAGAGTGCACGATCGTAATCGTATCTTTGCGCCGTTTGCGGTATTAGCTAGACTATTCTGGTCTTTCTCTTTGCACATGCCAATTAAGTCGGTGCTATGGAATCTGGGGTTGCAGAGGGTAAGGAGGTAGGTGCGTTGGTGGTGGACGCCGCGCCGCGTGCGGCGGAGATTAAGGAGCCGAAGGACCGTCGGTGGGATCGTAGCGAGATTCGCGGCATGTGGGAGTTTGCGTCGATACTCGATTTTTTCAGAGTAATAATACGCGTTCGTGCGTCGCAAGCGTAGGACATTAGCGTTGCCGTTGATTTCACGGTTGGATTGGAAACGGCACTTTCCGCGGTTACCCGCACTTGGTCGCGTTAGTATGATAGCATGTGAAAAAGTTGCACCGTCTTCGTTTTTGTAACGTTAGATCGATTTGATTTCATGCGCTGTATAATTTTCCCGTTTCCAATTCCTGATGCGCTAAACGAACTCAGATGGCGATTCGGGCTCTCGCGCGTCGCGCTCCTCGCGCCGCGATCAGCGAACCGTGGCCTCTGCCTCACTCGCGTTTCGTCACTGAGTATTCCCCATTATCCTCCTTCGCAATATCCTCATATACTTCATGTCTCTCCGTCCCTGGTCGAATTCATTACGATTTTCTACCAGATTTTCCGGGAGCCGCTACAACTTAGCATCGACGCTACAGCCGAAGACATCGAAACGGCTCTGCTAACCCCGGAGCCGTCTCCGCTTCTTAAAGACATACACATTACGCTTCTTAAGGTGACTAGGGTTTGCTCGCAGCGCCACGCGACTTGGCTTCACTGGCCTATGGCGGTTCGTAGTCGCGTCGAGCATCCATCTTAACGTAACGCAGCGTTATTTTCTTTCCGTAGCGCTTGTTCGGTTGACGGAATCCGTTAGGGGTCAGCTTACTGTAGGCGGCGCTCGGCATCTGCTGTCAGCCTGACAACGCTTTTCAGTGGAGTGGTTACCTTTTGGCAATATCTGTGTTTCGCCAGTGGTTTCATTTCGCGAAATCTATTGTTTCTTCAGGCATTCAGGCACTCAGGCATTCAGGCATTCATTCTTTCATGCATTCAGGCATTCAGGCATCCATTCTTTCAGGCAGTCATGCATTCAGGCATTCAGGCATCCATTCTTTCAGGCATTCATGCATTCAGGCATTCAGGCATTCAGGCATTCATGCATTCATGCATTCATGCATTCATGCATTCATGCATTCATGCATTCATGCACAGCATGGCACTTTTCATGCAGCGCCCACATGTCGCTCGTCCCAGTTCATGTTTTGACACGGCTCCGGTTAAAAAAACTTGGACCAGGAGCACTGAACTGATCAATCTGCTCCGCCCCACCCCTTTCTCCCGCTCCTCCCGTGCATGCAGGGCATTCAACCGTTCAACCGCCCGCCAGCCGACCATCGCACATGGGCTACGCTTGTGTGCCGCCGCGTTCACAACACGTGGCCGCAGGTAGGCATGACGGGGAATAGATGATGATCTTGATGCATGCTGAATGTTGTATGTTGCTTGCTTGCCATTCATGGGCTACACTTGTGTGCCGTCGCGTGCACAACACATGGCCGCAGGTAGATATGATGCATGCATGCCATGCATGAGTCAAGGGCTAGTGTTGTGCACCGTCACATGCACAACACATGGCCACAGGTAGACATGAATGATCCATTATACATGCCATGTGTGCGGCCCATGAAATCATGTGCATTGCACAAGATAAGCCTGCGAGTCAAGCATGATGAGATATGATGCACGCGTACATGCATGCCATGTGTGATGCATGCATACCATGTGTGATGCATGCATGCCATGTGTGATGCATGCATGCCATGTGTGATGCATGCATGCCATGTGTGATGCATGCATGCCATGTGTGATGCATGCATGCCTGTGGAGTTTGCATTGCACAAACACCATGTTGCCACAGATACAGCATACATGCATGAAGCTTCTGTGTCTGCCTCTCCTCCCTTGCATGCAAATGAAAACTTAATCCCATTCCCCACAAATGTGTGCGCGTGTGCGTACGTGCGCGCGTGCGTGTGTGTGTGTGTGTGTTGCCGTTGCGTGTGCGCATGTGTTTGTGCGTTTGTCTGTGTTGCCACTGCGTGCATGTGTGCTTGTGTGTGTCTGTGAATGCATCCCCATTTGCCTCCCTAACCAGGTTGCACCAGGGATTTGCCCTCTTTATTCCTGTCAGGGGTACGTGCTTTTGTTTCTGGCTTAGTATGCACTCTCTGCTCTTCCTGCTCCTCCTGCTCCTCCTGCTCTTCCTGCTCCTCCTGCTCTTCCTGCTCTTCCTGCTCTTCCTGCTCCTTCTGCTCCTCCTGCTCCTCCTGCTCCTCCTGCTCCTCCTGCTCTTCCTGCTCCTCCTGCTCCTCCTGCTCTTCCTGCTCCTTCTGCTCCTCCTGCTCCTCCTGCTCTTCCTGCTCCTCCTGCTCCTCCTGCTCCTCCTGCTCCTCCTGCTCCTCCTGCTCTTCCTGCTCCTTCTGCTCCTCCTGCTCCTCCTGCTCTTCCTGCTCCTTCTGCTCCTCCTGCTCCTCCTGCTCCTCCTGCTCCTCCTGCTCCTTCTGCTCCTCCTGCTCCTCCTGCTCCTCCTGCTCCTTCTGCTCCTCCTGCTCCTCCTGCTCTTCCTGCTCCTCCTGCTCCTCCTGCATGCGCCCGCCTCGCCCGTGCCCTCACCTCTTCGTATGTGCCCGCCTCTCTCCCTTATGGATGGACCCTATCGCCACTCCAGGGCTGAGGCAGAGCTCTACGCGTCCCTCCCTCCGCCTGACCGCGTGCGCATTTTGAAAGCCCTCTGCGAAATTCGGCTGGACGTGAGTACTTCGAGTAGGGTGGTAGCTTGCTATACATGCATTCAGTAAGGAGGCTCGCAGCAAGAATGCCTTCAAACTGGAGGGGTTTTTATCAGAGAAACCCTTAATTAAACTCCATTTGTGAAACGATACATTGTAATGGCAGGTGAGGTATGGAAGAAAGTAGTGAAGTAGGTAGCTACGACAGACAGAATTGATAAGACAGACAAGATTGATGTGAGTACTGAGGTAAGTTATACGCCTCTTTTTTCTGCCTCCCCCCTCGCCCTACCTCCCATCCCATCCCCCCACCACACAGCAAGAGGACTCACGTGTGGTGGTGGACGCGACCATGAAGAGGAATCCGAGGAGATTGCAGCCTTATCAACTCCTCTCCTCTCTACCTCCCTCCTTGCCTCCCTGTCTCTTTCCCCACCGTCCCTCCCTCCACCTTTCATCTCGCAGCAAGAGGACACGCGAGTGGTGGTGGAGGCTGCTATGAAGAGGAATCCCGAGGAGATTGCAGCCTTATCAACTCCTCTCCACTCCTCTCTACCTCTCTACTTATCCCCGTCCGATCCCCCCAACACACAGCAAGAGGACACGCGGGCGGTGGTGGAAGCGGCCATGAAGAGGAATCCCGAGGAGATTCGCATGGAGCCATTTGGGGCAGACGCCAACGACCATGTGTTCTGGTGGGTGCATTGTGGTGCAGTGCGGTGAAGTGCGGTGTGGTGCGGTGTGGTGCTTTGCTGTGTGGAGGCCGGGATGTGCTTTGACGGGCCTCAGATGATCATTAAGCTGTTGTGTGGCATTGACGCCAACAGCACAGCCATGCGTTCTGGTGAGATGCGTGGTGGTGTGGTTGTGTTGGGGTGGGTGCGGTGCGGTGTAGTGCCGTGTGGTGCAGCGCGGTGAAATGCGGTGTGTATGGAGAGTGTGATGCCTCAGATCTTTATGCTGGACCGCCAGCCGTTCAAAGAGGGCCCACCTGTTTTTCATCACGCAAGGGGACGCTGACGCTGCTGCCGCCGCTGCTGCGGCTGCACTTGCTGCTGCTTATTCAATGTGCCCGATTTCCACACTACTTCTTCCCTTCCCGGCTTCAGGTTTTGCTTTGCAACGATTCAGTGTTGGGTCATCGGCTGTTCAAAGAGGGCCCTCCTGTTTGCCGTGCCCATTTCATTTTACGTTCTCTGCTCTCATCTCCCACTCTCGACCCCTCTCATTGACCTTCAGGTTTTGCAACGACTCTGTGTTGGGTCATCGCCTGTTCAAAGAGGGCCCTCCTGTTTTCATCACACAGGAAGAGGCTGACGCTGCTGCCGCCGCCGCTGCTTCTGAAGCTGAAGCTGCTGCTGCTGCCGCCGCCGCCGCCGCCGCCGCCGCTGCTGCTGCTGATGCTGAAGCGGCTGCTGCTGCTCTTGCTGCTAACGCGGATGTTCCTGCTCTTGCTGCTGATGCCACTGCTGCTGTTTCTTCCGCAGAGAATACGGCAGTGGTGGTGGAAGGCGCAAAGGCAGAGGTTGCATTAGATGCTGCCAGAAGTGTTGCTAAAGCTGAAGCTGCTACTGAATCTGCTGAGCCGCCTGCTCCTAGCTCTGATGATCAAACAGCTACTCCTGTTCCTGCAGAGACCCGGGCAGTGGTGGTGGAAGGAGCAAAGGCGGAGGCTGGTAAAACTGACGCCACAAATGTTGCGAAAGCCGAAGCTGAAGTAGAAGCAGAAGCAGAAGCAGAAGCAGAAGCAGAAGTTGCTGAGCCTACTCGACCTGACAGAAGCGCCGATGATGACACAGATGCTACTGCTCTCATGCCTCCTGCGTCGAGAGGCGAGGAAGCAGAGGCAGCAGGTGCAGCAGAGGCAGCAGGGACAGCAGGTGCAGAAAAGGCAGCAGGGACAGCAGGTGCAGAAAAGGCAGCAGGGACAACAAAGGAAACACAAGTACCAGAGGCAGAAATGGCAGCAGAGGTAGCAGGGGCAGCGGCAGCAGATGTTGCAAGAGTGTCAGCTGGTGCTGAAGCAGATGCGCCTGCCGCACAGCCTGCTACTAGTGCTGATGGTAGCACAGCTGCTGTTGCTGCTGGTGGTGCTGCTGCTGGTGCTGCAGCTGCAGTCGGGGCAGCAGGGGCAGCGGCAGCAGATGTTGCAAGAGTGTCAGCTAGTGCTGGAGCAGATGTTTCTGCTGCTGCTGTCGGTGATAATGCATCAGCGGCCAAGGAGGCCCCATCTGGCAAAGCCGGAGCATCTGAGCCGTCCGTTAGCCCAACACCATCATCCGATCCTGTACAATCTGAACCACCATCCAGCTCCACCCGTGAAGTCTCTGCCTCTGACAGCGTTACAGCGATCAGTGTGGTAACCAGATTGGCCGATGTAAAGCCGCGTGCAACAGGTGTTGACTTGATTCTGAAGTCGCCTATCAGGAGTCCCGATAATAAATGTTTATCACGTGGCGGCCATAGGGAGTTTTTGCGAGGAGAGTTGCAAGGTGGTAGGGATTCAGTGAGTGGGCTAGATGCTATCGGTGGGTTGACGGCTGTAGATGGGGTGAAAGCAGAGGCGATTTTTGAGTCGACTCAAAAATCGCCTCATCACACGCGGCTAGATGCTATCGGTGAGTTGACGGCTGTAGATGGGGTGAAAGCAGAGCAGGAGGAGGGGGGACTGACGGTGGGAGGAGGAGAGGAAAGTGGGGTGGGAGGAAAGGAGGGAGGGGTGAAAGCAGAAGAAGGGGAAGGTAAAGGGAGAGACGAAGAGAGTAAGGTGCTTGCGAAGAGAGGGGTTGTTGGGAAGGAGACTGAGAGGGTTTACAGGAGGAGAGGAGGCAGAGAAGCGGTTAGAATGGGTTCTGAGGGCAACGAGAGGGAAAATGGGAAGGGAGAAGATGAGGGTGATAAAGGTGGTGTTGGTGAGGGAGACGACGAGATTGGAAAAAAGGAGGAGGAGAGGAAAGAGCAGGAGGATGTGCAGGAAGAGGAGGAGAAGGAGAAGGAGGAGAAGGAGGAGGAGGAAGAGGAGAAGGACGCTGCAGTGATTGACTTAACTGACGCAGATCCATGCATCCCTGCTCAAGACGACTCGGCTAAACCTGCGCAAGACACCTCAGTCACCGCCGCTGCTCGAAAAGACGCAGCTGTTGCTGCAAAGGCAGACTCGGTTCCCCCTGCTAAGGCAGATTCGAGCGCCCCTCCCACTCGCCATGGCATGAGCACACGAACCAGGTCCGGCAGTCTCCGCCCTCCTCCCGCCTCCAAACCTGCTCCCAAGCCTGCTGCCAAACCTGCTGCCAAGGGCACCACTAAGGGTAGCAGCAAGAAGGTGAGAGGAGCCGATGCTGCTGCTGCTGCTGCTGCTGCTGCTGCTGCTGCTGCTGGAGGGGAGGGGAGGAGGAAGGCGAGGAAAAAGGCCCGGCCGGTGTTCCTGCCTCCTGTGTGTGGCGAGTTTGCCACTGCTGCCGTGTGTCTCTCAGACTTCACAGCTCTAGCGGTGAGTCATTTTACTCTGAGCGAATCCCGTTTCAAGTGCCGGCGTTACGGCCGCCTTGTGTGGCGAGTTTGCCACTGCGGCTGTTTGTCTGGCAGATTTCACAGCTCTCGCGGTGAGTGAGTCAAGATGCTCCCTTTCCTTGCCACCTCAAAACTAGCGCTGTCACTGTTCGTGCCGCCTGTGTGTGGCGAGTTTGCCACTGCTGCCGCGTGTCTCTCAGACTTCACTGCTCTCGCGGTGAGTTGTGTGGAAGTTGGTTAAAAAATCGCATGCCTTAGCCTCTAGGTGAGTCAAGGGTTGGAACTTCATACCTCGAGTAGTTTTTCCTGGGTGTTTTTACTGGTCAATAGACACGGATTATTTGCTTATATTTTCCTACTAATTCGAATCAGCTTACGAAGGTGTCTGTTCCCGCTGCCTCCCTTGGCTGTATCTGCAGGACGATCTCAGTGCCAGTGTGCATAATGCGGATCAGCTTATAGCGGATCGCCTGGCAGAGGAGGCAATTCCTAAAGTGGAGCTCGAGGAGAAGGTGAGGAGTTGTTCTGTCACTCACTCTCCCTCATTCTCACTCGCTCACTCTCACTCACTCACTCACTCACTCACTCACTCACTCTCACTCACTCACTCATCATTTGAGTCGATTTGAAGGAAAACCAGTCACCTTAAACGTCATCACCTCCCTCTTCCATCTTCTCTTCTCTACTCTTCACCCCTCATGCCTCTTCACACCAGCGCAAGGAGCGGCACGCAAAGAGGCAGCAGAGGCAGACGGAAGCTGGCAGCTACTATTGTATCCAACCCCCCTGCAACTGACCCCTCCTCCTATTCTTTCTCCCATTACCACCCCCTGGCCCTCACCAGCGCAAGGAGCGGCACGCAAAGAGGCAGCACAGGCAGGGCAGGCGGAGCAGCTGACAGAACCCCTTTCCGTGATTTACCTTCTCCTCTCTTCATCCCTCTTCTGCTCCCCCCGTTTTCTTCCCCCCCTCTCCCTCCCCCCTCCACCCCACCAGCGCAAGGAGCGGCATGCGAAGTGGCAGCAGAGGCAGGTGCCGCAGCTGGCAGCACAGGCTGTACCCGAGACTCCCTCCCTTCACTTCAGTCCACCCCTCTTCTGCACCTCTCACCAGCGCAAGGAGCGGCACGCAAAGAGACAGCACAGGCTGTACCCGAAACTCCCTCCCTTTACGTCAGTCCACCCTTCTTCTGCACCTCTCACCAGCGCAAGGAGCGGCACGCAAAGAGGCAGCAGAGGCAGCCGGAGCAGCTACGGTTGCTCCCAACCCCTCCTCCCCCTCTGTAACCTCTGTTCTTTTCTTTCGTCTTCTTATCCCCCCCGCTCAACAGCGCAAGGAGCGGCATGCGAAGCGGCAGCAGAGGCAGGCGGCGCAGCTGGCGGCACAGCTAGCAGCAGCGATGGCAGCAGCAGGGCAGTACGCAGGGGGGTACGGGGAGGGACTGGCCCTGGGTCGATCGAGGCGAGAGAGAAAGCCAGTCACTTACACCTTTGGTGCGTGCGCTCCTGTAGCACTCCCATTGCTCTGCGGGGTATGGTATGCGAGGGAATGGCTGTGGGGTGGGTGGTGTGTGCCTGGGGGGTACGGGGAGGTGGGGCTGGCCCTGGGTCGGTCGAGGCGAGAGAGAAAGCCAGTCACTTACACCTTTGGTGCGTGCCTTGGTGTCTGGGTTGGTGTGAGTCATGGGTTGGTGTGAGTCATGGGTTGGTGTGAGTCATGGGTTGGTGTGAGTCATGGGTTGGTGTGAGTCATGGGCTGGTGTGAGTCATGGGCTGGTGTGAGTCATGGGTTGGTGTGAGTCATGGGCTGGTGTGAGTCATGGGCTGGTGTGAGTCATGGGTTGGTGTGAGTCATGGTTTGGTGTGAGTCATGGGTTGGTGTGAGTCATGGGTTGGTGTGAGTCATGGGCTGGTGTGAGTCATGGGTTGGTGTGAGTCATGGGCTGGTGTGAGTCATGGGCTGGTGTGAGTCATGGGTTGGTGTGAGTCATGGGTTGGTGTGAGTCATGGGCTGGTGTGAGTCATGGGTTGGTGTGAGTCATGGGTTGGTGTGAGTCATGGGTTGGTGTGAGTCATGGGCTGGTGTGAGTCATGGGCTGGTGTGAGTCATGGGTTGGTGTGAGTCATTGGCTGGTGTGAGTCATGGGCTGGTGTGAGTCATGGGCTGGTGTGAGTCATGGGCTGGTGTGAGTCATGGGCTGGTGTGAGTCATGGGTTGGTGTGAGTCATGGGTTGGTGTGAGTCATGGGTTGGTGTGAGTCATGGGCTGGTGTGAGTCATGGGCTGGTGTGAGTCATGGGTTGGTGTGAGTCATGGGCTGGTGTGAGTCATGGGTTGGTGTGAGTCATGGGTTGGTGTGAGTCATGGGTTGGTGTGAGTCATGGGCTGGTGTGAGTCATGGGTTCGTGTGAGTCATGGGTTGGTGTGAGTCATGGGTTGGTGTGAGTCATGGGTTGGTGTGAGTCATGGGTTGGTGTGAGTCATGGGTTGGTGTGAGTCATGGGTTGGTGTGAGTCATGGGTTGGTGTGAGTCATGGGTTGGTGTGAGTCATGGGTTGGTGTCCTGTCTGTGTGTCTGGGGGATACGGCGAGGCGAGGGACTGGCTCTGGGCCGATCGAGAGCCCTTCTTCCCTTTCCCTCTCCTCTTTCTCCTCCCCCAACCGTTTCCCTTCCCATTCCCCTTCACCTTGCCCTTTGCCTTGCAGATGATTTCGAACGTTCTATAAACGATGCCATCACGCGACCTTCCAATTCCCATTTACTGATCCCCTTCATTCCTCTTCTCCTTTCTCCCCGCCCTTCTCCCTTTCCCCCTCCCCTTCTCCTTCCTCCTCCAGACGATTTTGATCGCTCTATCAACGATGCCATCACACTACCTTCCAAATCCCGTGAGCTTCCTCTTGAGCACGCCCCCACTCGCGAGGGCCTACGACAGCTGGCAGGGCGGCGCGTCTTGTCTGCTAGCGGTGATGCGGTTGGTAGTGGTGTGGGGGCAGATGGAGGAGGGGAAGGGGGTGTGGGAGGCGGGAGGGGAGGAGAGGAGGGGGGCGGAGAGAGAGAAAGGGCAGAAGAGAAAAGAGGAGCAGAAGAAGGGGAAAGAGAAGGAGGAAGAGAAGGGAAAGAAGAAGAGGGAGGAGGAAGAGGGGAAGAGGAAGATGGATTGAGTGTAGGGACGTCTGGGGAAGGTTCATATGGGGAAGGAGAAATGGGAGAGAAGGGGGGCAAGGGTGCAGATGGAAAGGGGTCTGGGGAACCAGAGGAAAGGTTGTGTAAGGATGGGAAAGGAGGGAAGAGAAGAGGGCGGATAAGTGGAGTGGACAGTGATAGTAAGGATGGTGATATTAGTGATGGTGATTGGAACGAAAGTGGTGATAATGCAGGGGATGGGAGTGATGGTGATGAGAATGAGGGGATGCAGAAAAGAAGAAGGGAGGAAGGAGGGGGAAAGGGAGGGCGGCGGGGGGAGGGAGGGGAGGAGGGAGAGGAGGAGTACGATGAAGGAGAGAATGGGCGGGAGAGTGGGGGAGAAGAGGAAGAAGAGGAGGATGAGGCTGGGAGGAGTAGGGTGAGAGGGGGGAGAGGAGAGGGTGGTTCAGGGACTAAAGAGGGAGCGGAGGAGAGGGAAAGGAGGGAGGTTAGGGAGAGGAGAGAGGGGAGAGCAGGGGCGGAAAGCAAAGATGACAGGGAGCAGAGGATAAGGAAGAGACGATTGAAGGAGGGACGGGAAGAGGAGGAATGGGCTTTGCACGAATACTTTACAGGATCAGGAGGGGTGGGAAGGAAGGAGGGGAGGGAAGGAGGGGTGGGAAAGAAGGAGGGGAGGGAAGGAGGGGTGGGAAGGAAGGAGGGGAGGGAAGGAGGGGTGGGAAAGAAGGAGGGGAGGGAAGGAGGGGTGGGAAGGAAGGAGGGGAGGGAAGGTGGGGTGGGAAGGAAGGAGGAGAGGGAAGGAGGGGTGGGAAGGAAGGAGGGGAGGGAAGGAGGGGTGGGAAGAAAACGACAAAAAGGAGGCTATGGGGGTGATTATAATGATGATGGAGTGTTGGGGAAGGGTGAGGAAGAGAGTAAGGAGGGCGAGGGAGAGGAGGCAGCTGAAGAGGAGGGGAAGGAGTTCGAGAGAGATGAGGAGAGGGAAGGGAGAGGTACGGAGGAGGAGGTGAAGCAAGATGAGGGGGAGGGACTGGGTGATGCGACAGAAGGAGGGACGGAAGTGGGTGTGGATCCGAGTGTGAGAGAGGGAGTGAGGGAGGGAGGGGAGGAACTGGGGAGGAGTAGGCTGGATGGCAAAGGGCAGGAGGGGAGAATGGAGAGCAGACGAAGAGAGAAGAGAAGCAAGACCAAAGCTGCTCCAACCTCTGTCCTGCCCGAAGCTGCTTCCGATGCTGCCATTCCCGAAGCTGCTGTGGCTGGCATGGACTCACAGGAACGGGAGGGTAGGCTGGATGGTAGGAGATGGCTTAGGCGAAAGGCTAGTGGCTTGGTGGGTGGGAGTCAGACTGAATCGGCACAAGAGGAGGGTGGTGGAGTGAGGGCAAGGACGAGGTGGGGAGGGAGGAGGCCTGAGGGTGTGTCGTTTAAAGAGGAGGAGAGTGGGGAGGAGGGGAGTGGGGAGGAGGGGAGGGGTGTGGAGGAAGGAGGGCGGAGTGGGGAAGAGGAGTGGAGTGCAGAGGAGGCAGAGGCGGAGGAGGAGGAAGGGGAGGAGGAGGGGAGCAGGAAGGGAGTGGGAGAGGTTAAAAGGGATACCTGTGTAAGTCTGCGAAGGAAGGAGGGGAGAGGGGGGAGGGAGGGGAGGGAGAAGGAGAAGAAGGAGAAGAAAGGGGGGAAGGATGTGAAGGCTGGAGGAGTGCATGCAGCAAACGGGCGAGGAGGAGCGGAGAGGGACAAGGCAGGCAGATGGAAGCCTGGGTTGGCCTCGGATATCCACCCCCTGCGGCTGCTCAGGTGGGTAAGCTTGCCCTTGCGGTTGCGGTTGCTCAGGTGGGTAAGCTTGCCCTTGCGGTTGCGGTTGCTCAGGTGGGTAAGCTTTCCCTTGCGGTTGCGGTTGCTCAGGTGGGAGGACGGGGAGAAAGAGATGCATGATGCGATGCAGCGTGGTTGGGTTGAGTCTGAGTCTGAGTTAATCTACCTCGTTTGACTCCCTCTCCATCCCATTGCTGCTTACCTACCAAGCACTGGCGGAAGATTAGGTGGAGGTAGGCTGATATCTTGGAGGGAGGAGGAAGGGGAGGAGGAGAGGCGGGAGGAAGGGGTTCGCGTGTTAACGGCTTGTCACACCCTTGCAACGCCCCTCTACGTCCTTTCATCCCTTTCCACTCCTCCCATTGCTGCTTATCAGGCACCGTCCGAAGAAGAAGCGGAGCTATGCTGATATATTGGAGGGGGAAGGGGAGGAGGAGGGGCGGGAGGAAGGGGTTGGGGAAGGAGGTATGGAGGAAGGGAACGGGCAGGGGAATGGAGAGCCTGGGCAGGTGAAAGCAGAGGGAGGGCAGGTGAAAGAAGTGGCAGGGCAGGTATTAACAAACGCTGACAAGAGGGGTGAGCAAATCGGTTCTAGGGCAAAGAGGAGAGGAGCCACAGGGGAATCAAAGGGTGTGGAAGTTGAGGGTGCGAATTTCAAGGCCAATGGTGCTGATGGTGCTGATGGTGCTGCTGCAAATGTTGAGAGTAGGGAAACCAGTGCTGGTGGCGGCCTAAGTGCTGGTGATGATGGTGGTGGTATGGGTGCTAGTGGTGGGGATGGTAGTGGTGGTGGTGCTACCGCTGCTGCTAATGGTGGTGGTGCTGATGGTGCTGCTGCTAATGGTGCTCCTGAAGCAAATGCTGGTCCTGGTGATGCTAATAACGAGGACAGTATTGGTGATGTGGAGGGAGAGATAGTGTATTATGAGGAAGAGGAGGAGAGGGCAGCGAGAGAGAGGAGAGAAAGAGGGGTGGCTGGGAGGGTACCAGACGCGAAGGGGAGAGGGCGCGAGAGGGTAAGGGCGAAGGAGAAGAGAGGGAAGGATGAAAAGGGAGGAAAATCGGACAAAGGGCATGGTAAGAGTGGTGTTGTTTCTTCTGGTATCGAGATACCTGGGGTGAAGGAGCATACAGAGAGGATAGTAGACAGAGAGGAAAGAGAAGGGGGGACTGGAAAGAAAGAGGAGGAAAACGGGGTGGGGGAGGAGGAGGAGGAGGAAGAGGAGGAGGAAGAGGAGGAAGAGGAGGAAGAGGAGGAAGAAGAGGAGGAAGAGGAGGAAGAAGAGGAGTATGTGGTGGGATCTCAAGGCAAGAGAAGGAAGAGCAAGAAGGGGTTGCAAGTTGCACGGAGAAGGGGGACGCAGGGGAGTGTGCGGAAAGGAGGGGAGGCACGGAGGAGCAAGGGCGAAAGAAGGAGTGGGGCAGAAGAGAGGAGGAAGGCAGAAGGAGGGAGGAAGAGGGAAGGTAGGAGAAGGGTGGGAGTGGGTAGGAAACAGCAGGAGGGGGGTGAGAATGGGAGGTTGGAAGGAAGAGACGCAGCAGATTCGTTAATTTCTTCTCCTCCTTCTGGTTCTGGTTCGAGGAAGAGAAGAGGCGGGGTTGGTGAGGCGGCTGCTGCTGCAGCTCCAGAAGCTACAGCTGCTGCTGCTTCTGCTTCTGCGGCTGCTGCCACTTCACCCATTCGTGCCAGTGCAGGTTTTGCACCAGCAGCTGCTGCTGCTGCTGCTGCTGCTGCTGCTGCTGCTGCTGCTGCTGCTGCTGCTGCTGCTGCTGCTGCTGCTGCTGCTGCTGCTGCTGCTGCTGCTGCTGCTGCTGCTGCTGCTGCTGCTGCTGCTGCTGCATCAGAAGATGAAGGGACGCCGACAGGAGTGAGGCGGAGCGGCAGGAAGAGGAGGGAGAGGAATTATAGAGACCTGGTGAATGCGAATGATGGGGAGGCATGGAGCTTGTCCAGTGAGGAGGAGGGGAGGGGGCGAGGGGCGAGAGGAGCAAGAGGAGAACGAGGGGAAGGAGGAAAGAGAAGACGGATAGGAGGAGGAGGAGGAGGTGGGGGGGGGGGAGAGAGGCGGAGGAGGGGAGGAGCGGGAGGAGTAGGAGGAGGAGGTGGTGGGTTGGTGGGAGCGGGAGGGGGAGAAGGAGGAGAGGAGTTTGGAACGAGGAGGAAGTTGATGGTGAGTGGGCAGGGTGTGCAAGTGGGGGAGGGAGTAAGAGAGGTTGAGGTGGGTGGAGAAGGTTTGAGTGCGGTTGAGGGCGGTAGAGAGGGAGTGAGTAGGGCTGAGGGTGGTAGAGAGGGGGTTGAGGTTGGAGAGAGGAGAGAGAGGGGAGAGAGGAGGGAAATGGGGAGAGAGGAGGATCTAGGCAGTCCCACCGGCAACAGTGGGAGTCCCAAGTGGGCGGGTGTGAGGAGAAGGAGGACTCAGCATGCAGACACTCATGGTGACAGTCACACGCATGGGTTGGGTACTTCACAAGGTTGATGGCTTGATAAATTTGGGAGGGGAGGAACAAGGGAATTCCACAGCCCAACAGTGGCAGCCCCGTGTAAAGGCGTGGGCGACACGAAACCTTGAAGGCGTAGAGTTTATTTCATTAACTAGGGGTGACTTTGAGTCAGATTTCAATTTAAGTTGGAACTGTGGAGGCTCAGGCACCCACCGGACCGGAGGTCCTTGCTGATACCAGAAGCTGAAGCTTCTGCTGTTGTTTGGAAGGTCAGAGGCTTCAAGAAGCTTTTGGGGGGCTGAAGGAAACGTTTTCTGTCCATGAAAGACATGCATGCGAGTGGAGTGCATTTTTTATTGGACATGAAACCCTGTCCTAAACAGGGAGTTGGATTGCATTACTGTAAATGGATTGGATGAACAATGAAGGATCGTAATGTGCCTAACGAAATCGTTTTTTACACATTGTTGTTCTTTTCCAGCACAGTTAATAGCGAGTACACGATACAAGATTCAAACGAGCACGCCAGGATACAGAAGTATTACGGTACTTCACGAGACCAGCTTCAGCTATATTACTGAGGTCCTTACCTCTACGAATATCGTGGTGAAACATCCGTTACCCTACCAAGTCCTTATCAGGAATCTAACCGTATCAGGAATTTAAAATCGCGAATCCAAGTGTCGAGGTTTGAGATGGAGCTTCTGAGGGACAGCGAGGAGTGGGCTGACGTGGAGCCGCTACCGCAGGACGACGGTCCGGATCCCGTCGTGCCGATCGCGTATTCGCGCGAGTTTGACGACGCCATGGGCTTCATGCGCGCCGTTCTCGTGTCCGGCGAGCGCAGCGCGCGCGTCTTGCGCTTGACGGAACGCGTTATCTCCGTCAACGCCGCTAGCTACACCGCCTGGCAGCTCCGACGAGACGTTCTCACGCATCTGCTGTCGTTAGCCGAGCCGGTTGCCACGTCATCGAAGCCCTCGTCCACGTCAGCAGATGAGAATCGAGGGGATGAAGGGGATTGGCTGGTTCAGGATGAGGTTCTTTATGCCGAAAATGTGACTTTATCGAATCCCAAGAATTATCAGGTGTGGCACCATCGCCGCTGGTTGGCTGCTCTTCGCAAAGATAGGGTTACCAGACGCCAAGAACAGATGGAGCAGCAGCAACAGCAGCAAGAATCTGCTTCAAACTCACCGTCCCCGTTACAGCAAGCTCCGTTACGGTCGATAACTGAGGTGGCACAGGAGGAATTTCGCTTCTGTGAGGAAGCGTTGCGGGGAGATTCAAAGAACTACCACGCATGGTGCCACAGGCAGTGGGTGGCGAGAGAATTTGACACGTGGCATGGTGAGCTGGCGTTCTGTGAGAGGCTGCTGGACGATGACGTGCGCAACAACTCAGCATGGAACCACAGAATGTTCGTACTGGAGCACCTTATAACGAAGCAGAAGCAGGGAGCAGAACAGGTGGGAGGAGGAGCCAATCAGGAGAAGGATTCCGAACCAAGGTCTACACCAGTAACAGTGGATGATGAGGTGGCGTTCGCAGTGACCGCCATCTGGCTTGCTCCGTCCAATGAGAGCCCTTGGCGGTATCTCCAAGGGCTGATTCGCCTGCAGGAGAAGGAAGCAGCAGGTGTGGATAAGGAAGGTGATATGAAGCTTCTTGGAATCTGCGTGGATGTGCTGGCAAGTGAACCAGAGTGTGTTCATGCCTTAGCGGCTCTGCTTTCGGTGCTTGGTCGGGGTTGCGTGTCTGATAAAGTGGGTCTAGTTCTAGGGTTGAGCCAGGATGATGCTAGTGATGGCGCGCAGATTTCATGCACAGGTGCAGCTGTAGATGTGTGTGAGAAGCTGCAGCAGGTGGATAAGATTAGGTGGAGGTACTGGGAGATGAGGAAGAACCAGGTTGTTGGTGCCTGCGCCCAGTCCACGTGATTTGGAAGAGGTTTTTGCATTATTGATGAAATTGTATGCTTTCAAAAACATTATTGTCTCCCAACCATTGGCTTCATTTACATGTTTGAAACAATATAGAGCGCATGCTTCGTTATTGGCCCAGAATTGTCATGGTGGTGGGCGACAAGCTTTGTCTGACCTCGGGGTTTTGCGAATTTCGGAGGCGAAATGTGACAGAATGTCAGGCACGCGATGCGGGCAGGTGGTGGCAGGCGGAGCCACAGGCGTGACAGGCGGAACGAATCAGGCGGGACCGGGGTAACAACAAGTCGCTCGCTGTAGCTCAGTAAACAGGTGTTTCGTGCGCCGTGCATTCACTTCGTCAATCTCATCACTACTTTCGCCCAATTCCGTTTCCCTCAAGATCAACAGAAATTGAAACACGCGACGCGAGACATACATGGTATATGGTATAACATTATGCAGGTGGCATGGTCTAGGTTCGCCCTGCGAGCTCCATATGCCTCTCTTTACCTTCGTGGTAACCACGTCGCTGTTCTCTTTCACGAGAGGGCACGACTGGTAGATTTGATTGGACCGTAGGGATCCAACCCGATAGTAGAGAGTTTGGCGGGAACGTGGCGAGTCATCATGATTGAGATCAGCCAGACTCACGCGCAAACGGTGGCAATAGCCAATCATCATGCGCCAACCTGGCGATTCACGATTCGGCGTAGATTCTTTACCGTCTTTTTAATTCTCACGACCATGATTGTTTCGAAAGGTGCGGTGGCAGCGCCACGTGGCATACGGTTGTGGGGCGACTCGGGGCAGCCCCAAAGCCATCGGCGTAAAGCGGGAGACGGGCGGGCCGGCGGGATCAGCCTTGAGCGCGCCCTCGCTCTATATCGGGTACAAGCTCTTACCCTGTTAACGCTTCCCGTCTCCTCTCCCGCCCAGCCTTGATACGCTTCCCCGTCGCCCTTTCCCGCCTCTAGCGGGATCCATCCTTCCTCCTTTCCCGCCTTGTTAACTTCCGCGCCCTCGCCCCTTAACCTCCCCGCGCCCTCTTTAGGCGTGGTCAAACGCGTACGGTTTGACAGCGGGTTCCGTCCTTCCCCCGTCACGCATCGCGCTCCCGCCCAACGTCCCCCCCGCGCCGCACCTTGAGGACTGCGCAGCGCTCACGGCGCACCGCTTCAAAACGGAGATGCGCGGATCTAAAGGGGAGCCGCCGCGATGGACGCGCGCGCGAGGCGGGTGCCGATACCCGCAACCCCCGTGGGTGGGTATTGGGGGGAGGGGGGATGCGGGGGAGGGGGGCGAAAGGGGGAAGGGAGGGTCTGGATGCATGAAATTGGAGTTCCCTCCTTGCTTTGTCTCGCCCCCCTTCGAATCCACCCCTCACCCTCAGCTCACCCCAGCATGACCTTGTTATTGCCATCCCCGTTATTGTCACACTCGTTCATCTCAGGTGCGAGGCTCAGATGCTGCCAACCTGGCAGCGACCCGCCAAGCACAGGCTGACATCTGGCGGCACCAATTCCCGAACCAACCACCTTCATCTGCCACGTCAGCAACTGCCAACTCATCAGCTGCCACCTCAGCAGCTGCAGCGTCTCCATTCAAAACTGAGTCAAAACCAGTCTCATCCACCTCAGCAGCTGCCACGTCATCCTGCTCCGGGCGGCGGCTCCTCGTTGTGGATTGGCCGAAGAGGAAGCACGGGATTGGCTCTCAGCTAAGCATCATGAGCGCTTACCTAAGCCTTGCGCTGACTCACAACCGCTCGCTCGTTCCCACGCCCGGCACTTACTTAAGATCCAATCACTCTGAGTGCTTAGCGGCTGGAAACTTCAACTCGTTTGACTGCTATTTCTTTCCTTTAGTTGCTAAGAGCTGTGAAGAGCGAGTGAGGGAGGTGATGAGGGGGGGAGGGGAGGCTGGAGAAAGGGTAGGGAGTGGGGGTCACAAGGAGGGAAATGAGGAGGTGGAAAAAAGGGGAGTGGGGGGGAATGAGGAGCGGGAGGCAGGGCGAAGGGCAGCAGGGGAAGGGGAAGCAGCAGAGGAGGGGACGGAGTGGGAGGGGGCGTGTGCAAATCACAGCAACGTGCGGGCCTTTTTGGGCTCGGATCGGCCAATTGTGAGGTTCTGTGGGAACTACTTGCACCTGAAATACGAATCCGGTGCTGCCAGGTGAGATTTGTACAGTAGCAGGTGTATACTGTATACCAACATAATGTACCGAGTATATTATAAATCCCTTCATACTATACCGAGTATACAAACATACTGTTTGTGGAGATGATATTATAAATCCCTTCATGCCACATCATCCCCTATTTGCGACTTATCATCTACCTGCCACGTCATCCTCGGTCTGCCACGTCATCCTCTGCCTGGCAGATTGTGGGGGTCAGCGTACCTGAAGCGGCGGAACAGCATTGAACTGAGGGGGCGAGTGAAGGCCTCCGTGCCAAGGCTGCAGCAGGTACGGGAGCAGCATGTGTGGAGAGGCAGGTATGAGAGTAGCAGGTATGGAAGCAACAGGTACGGGAACAACAGGTAATGATACCCTTCCCAACATTTCCCCCAGGTATTTTTCCTCTTCCCTTGCCCCATATTCCAACAACTGCCAGGTGCACTGATGGCGAGCCCAGTCACTGTTGTTCGCTTCCTCCCCTTCCTCCCCTTTACCCCGTTCCCACCCCCCCCTTCAACCGCCAGGTGCACTGGTGGCGAGCCCAGTCGCTGCGCTTCATATCGATACAGCTGTTGCTCGCTTGCTCGCTTCATACTGTGGTTGTTGTTCCCTTGGTGCTGCTAATACCCCTTCCTCCCCTTTACCCTGTTTCCCCTCCCCCCCCCCTCTTTCAACTGCCAGGTGCACTGGTGGCGAGCCCAGTCGCTGCGGTTCATGCTGAGGTGGCCGTCGGCGTACCTGTGCCACGTCAGCAACAGGGTGCGGCAGCAGGCGTATGGCCTCCACGTGGCAGTGCGGATAGAGGAGGCTAGAGCGGCTCAGAAGAGGATTCTCGACTCCCTTAGTGCTGCTGCTGACCCCACTGCTGCTGGTGCCAGTGATGTTGCTGGTGCCAGTGATGTTGCTGGTGCCAGTGATGTTGCTGGTGCCAGTGATGTTGCTGGTGCCAGTGATGTTGCTGGTGCCAGTGATGTTGCTGGTGCCAGTGATGTTGCTGGTGCCAGTGATGTTGCTGGTGATGCTGCTGGTGCCAGTGATGCAGCAGGTGTTAGTGATGCTGCTGGTGCCAGTGATGCTGCTGGTGATGCTGCTGGTGATGCTGCTGGTGATTCTAATGCGGATGCAACGAGAATGGATGAGTCCAGAGTTGTACCAAGCGAAACTGCAGCAGCAGAAGCAGCAGCCGCAGAATCCACGTCAGCAACAGCAGCAGCGTCTACGTCAACAGCAGTAGGATCCACGTCAGCAGCAGCAGCTGCCAGCGTGGCAATCAATGCCACGGAGGAAGCAGCTTCTCTGCAGTCCATCTCCTTTCTCGATACAAGCAGCCTCGCTACAAGCATCTGGCCCTCTATCGGGTTCGCAGGTTGCACCCCTAAAGATAACGACAACAATGAGGATGGGGGAAAAGAGGGATATGAGAAAGACGGAGAAGAAGGGGGGGATGAGGAGGAGGTGTACAGGAGAGTGGGAGGGGAGGTGTATATGCCACGGCCGGTGGTGAGTGTGCATGTGAGGCAGGGCGACAAGAAGAGGGAGATGAAGCTAAGCTCGTTCAGAGCATACATGCTGCACGTGCAACGGCTGAGACTCCGAGTGCCAGACGTTCATTACTTGTGGCTCAGCACAGAGATGCAGGTGAGGGGTTGAGAGTGGCGGTGAGTGAACCAACAGGTACCAGGAAGAAAAAGCACCAGCCTTACTCAACCCAGATGCTCGAAAGAGCAGCTGGGCTGGAACAGCTGGTGGGGGACAGCCTGGCAAAGCGCCCCTCCTCTATTCCCTCCAATGCTCCCCCCCCCTCTTTGCCCTTCCCTCTGCTTTTTCCCTCATTCTGCTGCCCCTCCCACCCCTCACACCATCCTCACAGTCGGTGATTGATGAGTTGGGCAGCTACAATGATTGGACCTTCCTGTACAGCAAGAACAAACGCCAGCTCGGGTCGACCCAAATGCTGGAGTATGAGCGGGCAGCGGGGCTGGAACAGCTGGTGGGGGTCAGCTTTGCTAATCTGCTCGTCGCGTCTGAGTGTGATTTCTTTGTCGGGCCGCTAGGGTCGAACTGGAACCGGCTGATCAACAATCTGAGGGACACGAACGGGCGGGTGAACGCTGGGTATGTGGCTCTCAACACTGGTGAATGGTGAGGACTGTTGAGAATACCAGTACTACCGTAATACCCCGGATATAAGACCCCCTCTAGTTGTAGACCCCCGGGTATATAATACGGAGGGGGGTACGCTAAATAGGTCGTTTGTAGTTATACCCCCCTATAGGGGGGCTAACATTATAAGACCCCCCTTCCCCTAGAGAAGGGGTCATTTCATAGGTGAGAAATGCATTTCTGACAGTTATCCTACTGCTTTTTACAACAAATCCCACAAAATGTTCATTCAAGAAGGGCTACAGTCAGTCACCAAAGCACAAGCATATCTACTCATCATCCTGCCCAGCAACCCACTCCTCCACCTCCTCCCCGTCAAATCGCCCTTCTGCCCACCACTCGTCCTCATCGTCCCATCCCTGCCCAACACCCACCTCCTCTTCCGCCTCACCCTCCTCCTCCTCATCGTTTTCCTCGGAGTCCTCATCCTCCGAGGAGTCCTCATCCTCCTCGGACTCTTCCGTCTCGCAGTCCTCGTCCTCCGAGGAGTCCTCCTCCGCCTCCCCCCCCTTTGCAGCTGCCGCCACCGGGGCGGAATCGCCGTCCTTGTCAGCAGCGGCAGCAGGGTCAGGGTAGAAGGGGTTGGGGATGAGCTCGTCCAGCTCCTCCTCGCACACATCCTCCAGCACCTCCACCTCGGCCGCGTCCCGCAGGTGAGCGTGTATCAGGTGATCCTCGCTCCCGTCAACGGCGGTGGAGATGCCGCAGGTGAGGAATGCTTTCCTCACCAATTCCTCCGGGACGTCGGCCCAGGACTCGTCAATCCAGCGGAGCACCTTATCCGCTGGTGGTTTCTTTAGATTCCCTGCAGGTTGAGGCAAGGGGAGGGGTATTCAGTGGGGCGGGGGAAGACATCAAGCAGTAGACAAGGGGCAGACGGTACTGCTCAATAAACTCACCTGCCGGGGTGGTGTATCCGATCCCCTCATCCTCGAACCACGTGGAGTAGCGGTGGCGCATCCCGGCCTTGAAGCTACGGTTCACCGAAACGTCCAGCGGTTGCAGCAGTGACGAGCGCCACTTCTCTCCAGGGTGGCGATGCTTCATGTAGCTCGTCGCCCACTTCTGCAGCAAGCTGATGGAGACCGGAAGTCCTTTCCCGCGATGCAAAAGAAACTTCCGGTAGACTGCTCTTTCCATCATCGGCCACTTGGGCTTTCGCCCTGCACCACTGAGGCGTTGGCGACACCCTGCCGCCTTGTCAAGGCGCTCCTTGAAGCTGCGCCATTCGCGGATTTGCTTCGGCTGCACATTCGCGAGCCTCGCCAACGCCCGCACGGGCAAATCAGGCTGGGCGTCTAGCATCACCAGCCAATACAGCTTCTCCTTAGCGGTGAAGGCGCGACGCGCCTTCTTCGTTACTTTGCGTCGAGGCGACGGGGGCTCTGCATCCTGTACGCGCTTCTTCTGCCCCTATGGTCTTATGGCTTGCGGAAATACAGGAACCTTGACATGCGGCAACGGACGGGCCGGGCTATCGTCGCTTGAAGATGCAGATGGCGTTGGCATGACGGGCCTAGGCGACGGCCTAGGCACAGGAGCCTCGCGTTCGACACGGCGGCGGCGACGGGGAGCCGAGGTCCCGGTATCGGGTGAGGGTACCATGGCGGAAGACTAGGGACTAACATGTAGCATCCTCTAACACTCACCAAGTTATATCCGCACTGAGAGCCTGCCGAGCACAGCAAGGCCTCATGCCTCACGGAAAGGTATAGAGCAGCGTGAACGTGAAACGCAACCTCGTAAGGAGGACGTGCCAGGGTTTGAGGCAGCAAGGCATGCATGAGGTGTGAAGGACGAGCCTAGCAAGGCATCGGCGCGCACCGTCTGGCAAGATTGTGATGTGGTAACCTCGTTTTGGGACCAATAGGAGAAGGCCTCCAGCGTGGTTGCTGGTTGACGTGCCATTGATGGTGTGGGAGTTCATTTCGCGTATTTTTACTGAATGTTGAAAACGGAGCACATACTGTTCCCATGTTTGGCTTTCAAACAACAAGTATATGGCAGACATTATGATAAGACCCGGGTCTTATAAATTGTTACCAACTGTTAAAACCAGGGTGCACATTCAACGCGGTTCGGCTTGAGATGTTGGGAAGGGGGTTTGGAGAAAAACAGTGATTGGCTCACGAGGGGCGACAAAAAAATGATTCCGCTAGAGCTTCGGGCATTTCGTAGGTGGCGGGAGGGGGTGAAATGGCGGGAGTGGGTGAAACCGAATGGCGGGAGGGATGAAACAGATTGGCGGGAGGGGGGGGAAACGAAATTGCGGGGGAGGGGGGAAACAAAATTGCGGGGGAGGGGGGAAACGAATTTCGACGGGGAGGGGGAAATGAAATTGCGGGGGCGTGGGGAAACGAAATTGCGGGGGAGGGGGGAAACGAATTTCGACTTGAAGGGGTTGAAAGCACACCTCGTAACCCACTCAGTCAAGGGATAACCTTTTATGCACATTCAGCTGAATGTGCACCCCGGTTTTAAGACCCCCCCCAAGATTTGGGGTGGGATTCTTATAATACCCCCGGGTCTTATATCCGGGGTATTACGGTAATAGTAAATTATTACTAACCTGGGCTGCTTTGCCCTGCCTGTCTGGGGTAGAAGTGGAACCAGCTGAGGGACATGGATAGGCAGGTGCAGCACTGGCAAATGAGCAGCAGTAGCACACAGAAGTAGTTAGTCCTCACATTCTTGGATCAAACTCAAGCCGGCTCATTATATATGAGGAAAAATGGTTGTGAATTTCAGGAAATTATTGGTTAAAAACTTCTACCTGGATTTATTGGGCTTTTACAATTGTCAAAACTGTTTCCTGAGCACAATTGGTTTTCCGCATGCAAACGGAAATACACGGAAGGGACTGAAACCAGAATCGCATGTTCAAGCAGATAAGACTATTTCAGAGTTAATCGCCTGTTCAGAAGCCGTGACGCCACAGCTCATTGATAAGACAGCAGGTAAGCCTCGGCCTTGGAGAGTGTAACTTTAAGGGCCTGCAGGTAAAAACAAGAGAAACTAACAGCTGAGCCATAGACCAATCACCGATGCTTGTGTCCAATCAAAGCTGAGACTGCAATTTGTTGTGATTGTAGAGAGGTAGTCAGCCAGTAAATCCTCGAAAGTACACCCACTGGGGATGCACCCGCTCCGACCAGCAGCTAAACCTCGCCAGCTTGTACGGCAGTAATGTGCGCCACGTGGGGATCCCTTAGCACAATATCCTCGATAAAGAGGGCATCGGAGATCGTTCATGGCAACTGCAAGGAAAGCTTCCCACAAAACTCCACAAATAAAGACTCACCCTGTAAACAGCGGCAACCATGCGCGGATCCAGACCAGCGACGTGACGTATCTCCAATGCTCATCATGATTTTCAAATCCAATAAGCTTGTAACGAGTCTGTGAATGCAAGGGAAAAGAAGGCACAGGAAGAGACAGAAATTATACACCAAACGAAGGTGGTATACACATTCGTGAACCGCTACATCGGTCATGTCCCGTAAGCAATCGTCCGGCCAGCAGACAGGAGGCTGCGGCAGGATAGCGAGCCACGAGCGGTGGTTACGCCAAAGAGGGCCTTCGAACTCCCCCCAAGACCCGCCGTTCTCGCTTCAGGGAACGGGTCGACAGGTGACTGAATACACTCGCGACCAACTTTTAATGAAGCTTAAAATAAACGACGGCACCAGGGTAGCATAAATAATTGACAAAGCAATCAGAAAACCGGGGCTTAGAACTCAGAATTTAGGCAGCGATCAGAGAACTTTGAAGACGTTAGATGCGTGGAAGCATCACCGCCAGAAGTGGCTCAACGCGAGATTAAAGAATCTCCTCATATCGCTGCGAGTGATAAACAGAACCCAGAGCACAACAGGAGAAGAACTACAGGGTATCAGGACATACCTTCAAATCAGCACATTATTCCGAACGCGACCGTCATCCGAACGAAAAATCGCCAGTGCTGATGCCGCCATTCAGCTTAGGTTGAGACTCAGCTAAGCTTGCACGCTTCCACTGACGAAGAACCCCTGCAGCGACGAAGCACGGATGTCGGCATGACACATGGACCAACCGCAATGCCTGCAAAAGCATAAACCACGCACGAGGAAGGGTGAAAATAAGATCTTGACACGGTAAATAATGTCGAAAGCGGCCTACGGCATTTCGCCTCCTCCAAATGAGGGCAGCGAAAACCCCGAGGGGAACGATCCGGCCCAACCGAACAATCAGCGGAGCCAGCAAGCCCCGGCCACCATCGAACCATTCCTGTTGCAATTAAGTGACCGAACCTCTGATATAAGCAAAGGGCGGATGGAAGTATTGCGTATTTTCCATCACGTTTTAAGACATAAGTCGTATAAATACATGTCACAGAAAGAATACTGGGAAGGTCCACTCAGACAGAATTACGTGAGTTGGAAACGAATAATTTTCTTCAGCGCTGCTTAGCAGCTCGAAGCGAGCTGGGTATATATCGAGTCATCACTGTGGACCAGCAGAGGGTGTGATAGATGAACTTCAGAGCAAAAAAACGTGGCATGGAGAGAACAGAATGTCGCCGACACAGGACGACGATGCTGTAATGAATCACGGAGGAGGCTCAGACCCTTAGATTCCGCCATCAGCTTTGCGCTCAGACAATAAGGATTGTGATCTATAGATATCATCACCGCCTCTTCCGGTAATCACTACAACATGACTCGTTAACGAAGAGATAACACTAAGATGTTCTAAAACATCAACGAGTCAATGTTCCGATACACGTACCAAATGGGAGGGCATCCTTTTCCTTGGTAATCACGTGCAGGTTGGATGCGAAACTTGTTGCTTCATTATCTGCTCCAAGCACCAACAGGAATGGGGAGCGAGAGGATGTCAGAAACGGTGGAGTAGATCAGGGCCGCCGTCACGAAACCTTCGGTGTACAGCAAAAGTTTCCAACAAAACATAGGCAAAAATATGACCACAATTGGAATGTACATGTGGGGAACGATTATTCGCGGGCTTTCAGCGGGATAAACCCTCGGCCGACGACTCAAATTCGCTCTGCCTCAGTGTTCGCCGTATGGGGGCCCCCCTCGCCAATCAAAGCAAACTCGAGCGACAGGGGAAAATACGGCACATCGGGTTCTTATCTCGAAAACGGAGTCAACTTATGTCACACAGCTTACAATGTCGGATAAACGGCTGCGAGCTCCAGCAGACATGGCGGCGGGTGAGAAGCACGGCATCCAAGAAATGTCGAGTGTTGAGCGTAAGGCAGTCGAAGTGTGAAGCTATGCAGGGATACGAAAGAGGTAGGGCCGACGACATTTATGGCCATACGATTCAGTTCAGTCACCTGTGTTCCATGAAATGAATTGGTGGGTGGGAGGAGATTGTTGTGGGTAGCCAGGCCTAGTGAGAACTGGCTGAATGGAGGTCGAGGGGTTCGGGGGACGTCGAGATGCTTTTCGGGTGTTGCTGAATGACATTCCTCCCATGGTGGAATGCAGATGGAGGTCTGAGCTGGCTACATATTTATTGGTCTAAAGTTTATTTCTCATGATTTCACAATATTCGAAAAGCTAACACAACACCCGAAATCACCATGGTGGCCGGGCAACTTATCCTGCTCGACACCTAGAACTTACGACTGCCCGTCTCGCCGAACTCCGCCAGCGATATTGCGGACCATTCCGCATTGTAAAAATATGATTACCCCGAAGCTTTTGGTCCGCAAGCCCGAAGACTGCCATGTGCACGACGCATTCCACGTCATCCTCCTTCGGGCTTCCGTCGCTGCCACGACGGATAATGCCGCCAATACGCCGCCCTAGCGGCTTGCCCGATACCTGAACCGACGCTTCACCCGTTGAAGATTCTGGGGCACCGTCTTCGCCTCGACGCCACTTGGCACCACGTGGACTTTTGTATTCGCTGGACCGACCGCTCCAGAGGGGAAGCACATCCGCCTCGTTTGAAGCACCCTTGCTCCTTAGCGATTTCCTCACCTGAAAGCGTGTTGCAGATATTGACCACATCTCTTGGAGGAGAGAGGGGAGAGAGAGGGGGGGGGGGGGGGGGGGGGGGGGGTGGGGGGTAGGGGGTAGTGTAAGGATTTTTCTTTCTCCTAGATCGGGGTTGACTGTTTCGCGTGCAACCCCAACTTTCGGCGCACGTTCGGCCGACATCAAGGATACCGAGGCTGCCTTGCGTCGATTTCAGGTTTTCCCTTGCCCAACGTGCACCCAGCCTCTCGTACCTGAGGCTCCCGCCTAGCTACGCCACGTCCTTCATTGTATCGTCAGTCCATATTGTCACAGCCATGCCCTTAGATAAAACTTTATGGCACACTGATCTATCAGTGCTCCCCCTAAAAAATGTGTCCCACTCAGTGCCAGCCTACTGATTCAAAGTGAATATTTCAGGGTGATTTTGCGACTCATACAGATGAGTATCGGTAAAATGTATAACCATACTAAGGCTTCAGTGTAGATCCCCTCTCTCACGGGCGCATATCGACCCCCGAAATCACTCGACCGAACCTAATGTGCTGTTAGGGTTGAACGAACTTTCCGTGGGGCCCGTGCCCTGTGAGGCACCACCTATGTGGAACAGTACGTCGCGGATATGCTTTGGTTTGGGGCCCTGCTAATGCAGCACCTGGTTCAGCTTGGACCCATGTGAATCACGTGCGTTAGATTGTTGAGACCATCGCAGTGAACTTTTTGTACAACTTGGACTTGTACTGGTAATCGCGCGAATGTGGCGGGAGGCTGCCCTGGAAACAATACTCGCATGGGACACGGGCAAGAGGGAGTGGAGTACTGACGAGAGATGCTGATATATTGACAACCCGTTGTGTGAGACTTTCCGTAGGGATCAGAAACGGCAGCTGCTGCTGCTGCTGCCCTCCTAACTGCTGTCCGTATTGCTCCACTGGCTGCTGCTGGCCTCCTGACTGGGTTGCAAACTGGCCTCCCCGTTGCTGGTGTTGGAAACCAGGTTGACTGATGTCGTCCCTGCTGCCCCCCTGGCTGCTGTGTCTGCTCTTCCCCAAGCCGCTCTCCTTGCTGCTCCTCGGGTTGCTGCTCCTGCTGCACCCCCTGCTGGTTACGAAGCTGCCCCTTGGGATGCTGCCCCTGCTGGATGACCAGCTGCAGCCCCTGCTCCTCCCCCGGGTGCTGCCCATGCCTCTTTCCTTGCTGTTCCCCTGGATGCAGCCCCTGTTGTCCTGCTTCCGCCCTTCCTGGGTTGCTGCCCCTGCCACTCCCCTGGTTGCTGCCCCTGCTGCTCCCCTTGTTGCAAAACCTGCTGGTTATCAGGTTGCCGCCACTGCTCGACACCCGACTGCTGCCCGATTCTCCCACCGGCTGCTGGCCCTCTAGCCGTTGCTGCGGCTGGGCCCCCTGACATTGTCCTTGACCGGTGTCTAGTTGCTGCACTCGGCAATGCTCTTGCTCCCCTCCTGGCAGGCCCATTTGCTCCTGCTCCTGCCAGATTTTAGAGTACGCCCCTGATTGCCGTTCGGCTGTCCAGGGGGCTGCCGGCCCTCCTGGTCAGGCTGCTCCTCTTGCTGCCCCCCAATCGGTGAGTAGCTCTGCTTGATGATTCTGCTGATTGCCCTGCCGCTGTCTTCAGCCTTCCCGTCGCCTCCTGCTCTTTCCTCGTGGCAATTTCTCACCTAAGAATTCCTGTGCCTGTGCATCCAGGCTGCACGGCTTGCGGCCGCCCTGACCACTTTCTCGACCTGCTCCCTAGAATCTTGGCCCGCGAGTAGGTTTTTAGAAGTACCAGCCATGTCTCGTCGGCGCTCACCCCCACGGGCCGAAAGTGGTGGCGAGGGTACCAAATCCGTTTCCATTTCCTGGTGTGTGTGACCCGGGGCGGGCTTGCTTCGCCATGATTTCATTTCCGAGTGCCTCTCCCACACCAGTGCCCAACTGCTTCCCGTGGTTGCTTTTGGTATCTCTATATTTTTAATCCTCATTTATGCGTGAGGTGTATCTTTCTCTTGGGCCAACAACGGGGACGGCCGGGGAAATGATTGCGACTTTCAAGATACAGTAGGCTATGTGGCCTGACAGTTGTGTGCGCTGTCATTTGATGATTACGGAGGTTCACGTGTGGGGAGATGCACAACAACCCACCATTGGGCAATACCCAGTGGTTGGCTTGCCGCGCCAGACGCCACACCAATCAGAAAGCAAATCCACTCTCCACCTCATCTCACCACCACCTCTTGCTGATGCCTGTGCGAGGTGACCGGGCCCTAACCAAACCGACGGCATCAGGTCAGGTGTGCTCGAATCAAACCTATCGATGTGGTCAGGGTTTGGGGTTCGGGACTACGTTCTGTCAGAAACTTGCGGCGGGTGATTTTCCTGAAGCCGGTTTGCTTTGCGTGTTCGTGACAGGAACGTCAAATTCCACGGGACGGAAACTATTATGTGCGGAAACCCGGGTTAAAACTCCTCTTTATCCCCAACAAACGCCATGTTTTCTGCAGATCATCTTCCAGATCATAGTTCACTCACGCATTCCCAGTTGGACCGCCTAGCGGCGGCTCCTACGAAGTGCAATACAACGATTGCTGTTCGTGGAAATCGGGCTATTTTAGCCAAACGCAATGCACATGTACAAAACAACTCTTGTCGGCGGGCAGGGAGGAACTGTTGGGAAATGGGATATCTGGTCTGGTGTGAAGAGTTCCACTCGCAAGACCCAACCTTTCATCCAACATCACCTTCGTTAAAATCAAAACGGGGAGTTGTGTGCGTGCAGCCAACCAACCACGGAGGACTTTTTGACGTTTCGGCCACCTGCTCTGCTCAGCTCAGTGCTCCAGCTGAAGCACTGCTGGGTCCACGACGAGATGAGGTTTTCAGGATTGCCTGCCTGGTCAGCACGATCGCGAGTTCTTCCAGAGAGGAGAACCAGACTTTCTCTCTGTTCTTCTGTGTCTTCTCTGTTTTCACTTCTGTCTGTTCTCTAGCTTCTTTGTCAACGTTCCTCTCTTGTTCAGCCTTCGATTTCTCCGCTTCAAGCAGTCTGCGATATCCGGCGTTCGAAGCGCCTCTTAGCATTCTTAGCTTTACGTTGTTCCACACGATCCAGTTTTTGTTTCAGAGGTAAATGCCTGTTGGCATAGGTCAGGGTGCGCTGTCACGCGATTCGAGACCAAGCTCTTAATACCCAAGATTTCTGCTATTTGTGGGAGGAATATTAGTTGTTGTAACACACGCCATGGCAACAATTTCACCCCCTCCGCCTGTTCCTGATTCCAATTCCAGCTCGTCAGATCTTCCCCCAGGCGCATTTATTGCCTCAATTACCGCCGCCTTTCTTGCCTTCGTCGGTCTTTTCCTCTGCCTGGTTTTCGCTCGGTGGTTCGTTTCTCCGGAGGCAGAACAGGAGGATGACAGGAATAACCAGCGGCGGAGACTTTACGGCTTGGATAAAGATCTAGTCAAGAGCTTTCCAACCTTCGTTTTCGCTGCAGAGCAAGCCAAGGAGAGCGATTGTGTCAGTTTCCGTCAGTGCTGCATCTGCTTACAAGACTACGAACCAGGCGACGAAATAAAGTCTCTTCCGGTGTGCGGTCACAGGTTCCACGAATCGTGTATCGATATGTGGCTGGAAGGGAAGAGAACCTGCCCAGTGTGCAGGGCGAATCTCAGACCCAAGCCATCGGTCGACGGCGCGCCGAAGTCGGCGACGGGCGGCGAACACGGGGAAGCAGATGTCGCAATCGCCATCGGTCAACCCTGCGACCGCGACGTACAGTGTTGCAACCCAACTTTGTGCGACAACGGTTATTGTCGTGACGAAACTTCGAGAAGCGTGGAAGAAAGCAGTCTTCCAGCTACACACACGATTTCGCTCGAGCGGATTTCGTCCACATCTACGCCGTTAGTTCACCCTGCCCAAACTGCGGGCTTCGGCGAACCTTTGGAGCAGGATGCTGATCGAAATTTGAGACCTTGACTCAACACAAGATGGTGATTTTCGTTGATTCAAGGAAGCTGAGTGGGAGAGCCTGCGGTGCGGAATGACCAGCGGATAGATTGTGTTCACGAGGGAGGTGTACCTGCAGCCAGCCAAGAAGGCACTTGAATCTACTAACAATGAAGTGTTTGCTGAGCGGGAATTAGCATCGCCAAGCAGTTTCTGCAGGGGAGCAGCCATGCAGCCTCTTCATTTATGGCAAGGCTGGTCGTAACTGATGTACAGTTAAGAGAATGAGAGAAGGGTGCTTATAAAGTGCCCAGGTTGCTACGTTTAGGTTCATGAGCACCTTCTCACAGTGCCGCAAAAGAAGCAGCAGCAGCAACAGGGTCTGCGTCCGGATTTGAGAGTTGGTCGTTTGTCTCACCTGTAATGTTTATGCTCATAGTGGGCAACATCTTGTTGCTAGTTGCTCGTCATATGTATTTAGGTTTCTACCTAATAGTAAACCTGGTAAGCTGGTAATTCTCGTACTCCTGAGTTGTGTAACACAATGCATAAGTAAACTATGTTACAAAATGCTTGCTCATCTATCTAGGCCTGGCAGCTCTACCAGACAGTAACGAGTCACGACGAAACTGGGTGTTCGTTTCCAAACCACATCGGTTTTGTGCGATGGGTTGCGTTCCATAGCGGTATTGCGCAACCCACCCAAGCCACAAAGACGACACCAGCCGCTCAACCGCTCCCTTCCAGCCACACATACACCCCCGCCTCGTGCGTGCCCCTTTTTTACGGCAGTTTGTCTTGACGCTGTAGCCTGGACTTCTGGGGCTTTTATTCCCTACCTACTTCAGTCCGCCGTAGCGCAAGCTTTTTGGTTGCTTGCATTCCCACTGCGGCGATTATGTATGCGCTGCTCTGCAGTTCCCCACATCGATTTCATTGAATCTCGCCATTTCTCTCGGCGACGCGTGACTAACGCCTGGCTAACTTCTGGACTCAGCGGAAATTATCTGTCACGTTCTTACATCAAGAATCACTCCATTTAGCGAAATCTCGTCTGGAATCCGGATAACCAGTGAGAATGTCGTCCGCTTCTGCCAACATAACCCGGAACTATGGTCTCGACGCGTCATCGACGAGCATCATCGTCACCGTCTCCGCCATCCTCCTCGTCCTCGTGTCCGCCATATTCTGCTTCTCCTTCGTGCGAAATCGAGCCTTTTCCCGCCGTCGCCGGGCGAATCTGGCGCTCGAAAATGGCGGCGCCTCACGCGGGAGGCCGGGAACGCGGGGACTGGAAGACGCGCTTGTTAAGTCCTTCCCCACGTTTATGTTTTCCGCGGAAACGGCGGAGAGCGATAAGTCCGTGGAGTACGGCGGTTTGAAGTTACCGGGAGAGGAAGGAAGATGGGATTTGGAGGGTGGGAAGGCGGTACCGTACTGGGGGAAAGGAGAGGGATTTCGCGAGTGCGCGGTGTGCTTGGCGGAGTATGTTTCCGCGGACATGCTGAAACTGCTCCCCCCGTGCGGGCACGTGTTCCACGTGGACTGCATTGACACGTGGCTCCAAGGAAAAACGACCTGCCCGATATGCCGCCGAGACATCGGTCCAAGTGCTGAAGTCAAGGAAGGAGATTCAGAAGGAGGCGGAATAGCGCGAGATGGGGGAGAGCAAAGCGAGAGGGGAGAGCAAGGGGAGAGCAGCACGGGGGGAGGTTTAGCGGGTCTGGAAGCCGACAGAGAGGAGTTAGGGCAGCAAACGGTGGCAGGAGCAGGTAGGGGGGTAGCAGAGGGGGAGACTTCGGCAAATTCTGTGCCGCAGAGTGCGAATTCGGTTCCAATTGAGCAGCAGTCCGTTTCAGCAGCAACCGCTTGGGGAGGCTTACCCTCAATGTGGGTTCGACTGAGGTCATTGTGGTTGAGAGAAGCTGCGACTCCTCCCGGGGTAGATGGCCGCGTTCTTGAATCTGTTCTGGTGGCCCCGTCCCCATCTGCCGTGGTCTTTCTTCCTCCCTCTGGTGTTTCGTAGCAGAGGCCTTGGATACTACTTCTGCCATGGGAATGTTTTCGGTAAGGGCATGAGTTCTGCATTGGGTGCTGGATGTGTGTGGCTCCGCTATGCCAAGGTTTTGAGAGTGCGAGTGGGAATGTGAGACCAGAAGGTGCTGCACACACAAGAGGTCGGAGGATGCAGAAGCACAAGAGCTTGTCAAGGGTGCAAAACTCGTGGGTTGATGTAGGCCTGTAAATAAGGCACGAGGCGATAAAGATGCAAGTGTAGGAATCTGCCCTAGTGCCTTTAGATGAGTGGTTTGGTGGTTTGTTTTGTTGGAACCGTCATAATAGTCCCCAAGACATTGCAACGACATGGTAGGATGGGGTGACCGTGAGGATTGTTGCAATAGTGTTCGATAGAGATTTCCACATTGGCAAACAAGCCTGAAGTAATGTTGCAATTCTGTGATGTGTAATGCTTTACGGTACATGTGGTTTGAGTTCATGGCGGAGAGAAAGGATAAATGGCATGTCATTCGTGCTCTTTCATCATTGGCCAACCATCTAGCACTATGAGAATTCGTTGCACAGCCCCTTCCTGGTCCGTGCTTCTACGCTCTAAAATACCGTACCGGTAACTGCATACCGGGTATTGAGAATTACAGGCAGATGGCAGCATTTGAGTGGAGTGACAGTTCCCATTGGTAGCCAGTCTCCACCGTCCCCCTTGTCGTATGCCCTTAGTGGAAGGTGAGGTAAGGTGGGGTGAGGTGAGGCGAGGTGAGGTCATCTCATCTCACAGCAGATCCCTCTCGCTGACAGCTGACATGTGTTCTTGTTCTACTGCCAACCAAGTGGAACGAGTACGTGATGGTCCCAGGTGACACTTGAGAACTAATGCTGGCGTGGCTGCATCCGTATCGTGCATTCAGCTTGACTACTGCCAGCTGCTTGTTCGCTGAGGGAGTTCTGATTTGCGGGATCCACATCAGCTCAACAACTCCACTGATAAGGCAAGGCCTGCCCTTTCTGCCCCGCAAAAATCGAGACTGATTTGGAAGTTCTTAGGCGCCCAAGCGACACATGGATGGAACACTGTAGACCTGACTCTGCATCTTTCTTATGGGGAGCTGAGATGTTGGGTGAGGTTCCATTTCTGCCCGCCAGCTACTTTCCAGGTGGCTCCCATCGAACCCCCCACCCCGCAACAGTCCGTTCGATCTCTCGAATCTCCCTCGGAGTGGCGATCGTGGTCCATTGATTGCGATACGCACATTCCCTGATGACCCACTTCCAGCCATCCATCTCACATCAAAATTCTCCCCGATTCCCGCGTTTCAACCTCCCTTCCCTGTCCCCTCGGTTTTGGTTCGCTTGTCCCCTCCACACTTGCGTTGCGAACCATTCATTTGTTTGTGGCAGCCAAGTCAAGGATTCAGTTCAGAGGAGCAGCATTTGCATTCTGTGAGTGACATGTACAAATGCAAGGCGCTGAAGAAGAGTCTTCAGACATGAATGTTATTGCTGACTTCAGACTGTTCTTTTCACGGAAGTAGTTGTTCATCCGCGGTCCTTGCTCATCTGCTGGTCTTGATTGCCTGACCCGTTTCTAGTAACGCTGAATCATCTTTCCAAACACAGTGGTGAACTTTTTTTTTGCCGCCTGTGTAATAGTAGGATCAGGCATTGCTGACTGCATTGACGGTCATTAGGTCTCTTCTTTATTCCTCAGCACCAGTAGCTCAATTCATTCAGCCTTAGATATCGGGACTTGCAGTAACGTGTTTCTAAGCAACAGCGTCTGGTGCGACGCGTGCGAACATGTCGATACCAATGGAGGATGTCATCGCGTGTTTGGGATTCACGCAAACGGATAACCCGCTAACTCGCGCAAAGGATCATCCGAAGGTTCGCAATTCTTCCTTACGATTCGTCATTTAGCCTCTTCGCACTTCCATGCTTCCTTCATCGTTTTCTCCATTGCGCGTGCTCGGTTTAGCGTCTGAAACGCGCGACATCCTTCAGATTTCCGTGGCCGTGTTTTTTGAGCGCGTACGCTGATTGCCTGATAATTTCGTTTCGTCATTTCTCAGATCGCACACGCAATGGTGGAACTAGCCGTGGAGCAAGGGCCTGACTCCATCACAGCATCACAGAAGGAAGCGGCCGAACAGGTATGAATGAGAGCCTGATTGTTCTGTGAAATGCTCAGGTTCAGCGACTTTCGAAATCTCGAACCTCGCCGTACCTGTTTGGTTGTTGAGATGCTGCGACTTTTGACTGGATCGCAGCGTCGCTCGAGGGAGCCGCTAAACATGCGTGAAGGTGAACCCGACCGATGGCCTTGATTCCAAGGCCATGGTGAATGAACTGCAGTACCCAATAATAGGATAACAGAATGAAAATTGCTCAAGAACGAATGGTAGGAGGAATGTAGCAGGCAATTGTGGTTACGTGCAAGAACTTCTCATTCTTCCCTCTTCCCTGCTCCAATTTCTCTCCTCATCCCTCTCCGCCTCCCAACTCTCCCCCCCCCCCCCCCCCGCAGCTGATGGACCTGGTGGTTGCGGAAGGCGCGGAGGACCGAGCAGTGGCGGAGGCGGCGGCGCAGCTGCTGGCGATGACGGCAGCGGACGACAAGAAGAACCCGCACCTCATGCACGTGGACCGATGGGTCTCCACGTGCTGCGGCGTGCTCAGTGAGTGATTGATGCGGCTGTGTGAATGCTGTGTTTCTGTCTCTCCGAGTTTCGCTGCCGCCCGCAGCGGACGACAAGAAGAACCCGCATCTCATGCACGTGGACCGATGGGTCACTACGTGCTGCGGCGTGCTCAGTGAGTGCTTAGCGCGGCACTGTGAATGTTGTTTTTCTGCCTCTCCGAGAATGTGTACCGTCGGCAGCGGACGACGTGACACGAGGAACCCCCACCTGATGCGCTTGGACTGATTAGCTTCCACGTGCTGCGTCCCCCTCCCCCCTCCCCCTCTCCCCCCCACCTCCCCCTCCCCCTCTCTCACCCGCCTCCCCCTCCCCCTGTCTCACCCACCTCTCCCTCCCCCTCCCCCTACCCCCTCCCCCTCCCTCTCCCCCTCCCCCTTCTCCTCCACGCTCTCTTCCCCCCCTCCCTCCTCCGCCCGCTCCTCCTCCTCCCCTCCCCACCTCATCAGAGCGGTGCAAGGCAGCGAGCGACAGCAAGAGGCGGAAGAGCAGCACACAAGCTGACGCTGCCGAAACAGAGCCAGCAGCAGCAGGAGCAGGAGTAACAGGGGGAATGGGGGAGGCGGCGGGGGCGGCAGTGAGCGAGGCGCTGCTGGTATCCATGGCAAGCTGTCTGGCGGACCTGATGAACAACCCGCGCAGCACCATCGTGTGCAGCACGCGCGCGCAGGAGATATTTCAGTGCCTGCAGCCCGCGCTGCTGCTCCCGCGCGTCTCCAACCGCCTGCTCTACTTCCAGGTGCGCAGGGCCGTCTTCGAGGTTTTGATCTTATTCTAAGTTGATGATTTGATTCACCTGTCCACCTGTCCACCTGTCCTCCTGTCCACCTGTCCGCTCCTGACTGCTCCCGCGCGTCCCCAACCGCCTGCTCTACTTGCAGGTCTGCCGGGCGGTCTCCGAGGTGCTGCACCCGTCCACGTGGCCCATGAACCAATCCGCTGCTGTCCCCAAGCGTCTTCTGGAGCGGCTTATTGATCTGATCACTCCTGTTAAAGCCCCGGGTCCTGATGGTGCGAAGGGTGCTAATGGGTTGGGTGATAAGGATGCTGGTAGGAATGAAGCAGCTGGTGGTGCTGCTGGTGTTGAGATTGTCGCTGAGAATGGGGTAGGGGAGCGTGAGACAGAGGCCACGGAACCCGCTGCTTCTCATACCCCCTTGGCAAACGGCACAGCTGCTGCAGACGCAGAGGCAGCCAAAGCAGCAGGCGCAGAAGCAGCTGCAGCAGCAGGGGCAGTCGAGCAGGAGGGCAGCGGCAGCGAGGGCAGCAGCGAGGGCGACGTAACAGAGTCGCTGATCCACATGCAGGCGTGCAAGGCGCTCCTGGTGATGGCCACCAACGGAGCAGCGGATCTGATCGTGCAGCACGTGCCCGGGGTGATGGGCGCTTTGGAGCGGCTCCGGCAGGAATCGGGCGTGGAGGAGGCCGTGGTGCAGGCTGACGCCGCGCTCATGGCGCTCTGGCTGTCACCCAAAGGATACTCGCTCTCCAACCCCGAGGTACGGGTATGGGTTGTCTGATACTGTAGGTGTTGACGCCCGGGGTGATGGGCACGCTGGAGCGGCTCAGGCAGGAATCGGGTGTGGAGGAGGCCGTCGTGCAGGCTGACGCTGCGCTCATGGCGCTCTGGCTGTCACCCAAAGGATACTCGCTCTCCAACCCCGAGGTGAGGATATGAGCTCCCTGGTTTTCCACCTGCAGGTGTCAAGGAGGGTGCTCTTTGTGACTCTCGTCATGTCTCATTCTCCCCATTCCCATCTTCGTTCCCCTGTCCTGTTCCCTCGTCCCCGCTCATCCCCTCTCCCTCCATCCTCATTCCTGCCCTTCACATTCTTTCCCTCCCCTCATTCCTGCCCTTCGATTTCTTTCCCTCGTCTCACTCCTGCCCTCCTCCTGTCTTCCCCAGCTGCGTCCAGTGGTAGCAACACACCTGCTGAGGGTGCTCGGTTCACCAGACCTGGTGGATAACCACCAGGACGTCAGCCTGGCACTGGTGACTCACTCCATGTCTCATTCCCCCTTCTCCCCCATTCCCGTCCTCTTCCCCTGTCCTGTTCCAACTTCCCTTTTTCATTCGTGTTTTCCTCCCCAGCTGCGACCGGTGGTAGCAGCGCATCTGCTGAGGGTGCTGGGCTCGCCAGACCTGGTGGATAACCACCAGGACGTCAGCTTGGCTCTGGTGACGTCAACCATCAACCCTGACGCTGCCACGCGGGCCAGCATGCTCCAGCTGTACGCGGGACTGCTGAGTCAGCAGCTGGAGCTGACGCACATCCTGATTGGCCACGTGGATGACACTGACAGTCTGGCACACCAGGTAAGGGGAGGAGGAAGCGGGGAGTGAGGGGAGGGGGAGGGGGGGATGAATGGGGTTGGGGAGGGGGAATGAGCGGGGATGGGGAGGGGGGATGAAGGAAGAGGGAGGGAGGGATTAGGGGGAGGGTGAGGAGGGAATGAGGGAAAGGGGTCAGAAAAGGAGAAAGAAGAGGGAGGCGAGGTTGAGAAAGATGGGAAAGGAGTACAGTGGATGAATGATGCTTCGAGTCATGACGTTATCCCCACACTCCCTCCTCCACCCCTCCCAACTCACTCATCCCTGTCCCAACACAATTTTCTCCTCACACTCGTTTCCATCCCTCCTACTCCACTCGCCCTATTAGATCGTGACTCATTTCGTGCTGCACACATGTGAATCATAAGAATATGCTAAGGCCTTTAAGTCACAGCCAAACAGAGGGCTTACAGTCTTTGCAACAACTGCTTCTTCCTCTTTCTCAACTATCTCCCCACTCACACTCTCCCCACATTTCACAAACCTCCCCTCACTCACTCCCCCCCACGCACACTCTTTCTTCCCACACACTCTTCCCCACACTCCTCCCCACACTCACCGACACATTTGATCTGCTCGCACTGTCAGAGCATGGTGTATCTTGTGCTGTACATGTGCGAGTCAGAGAACTGTGCCATGAGTCACCCTGACTCATGTTTCGAAGAGGCTTTTCGGAAGCTAAGGGTTTTCCAGATCTGCGTTTTTTTTTTCACAAGATTTTTACTGTTGTTCCTTTGCTTAAGCGTCCTCTCTACTACTGCAGCCCTTCGAAACATGAGTCAGGGCTCGCACTGTCAGAGCATGGTGTATCTTGTGCTGTACATGTGCGAGTCAGAGGACTGTGCCATGACCTTCACAGCCAACCAGGCTTGACAGATTCGCGACTGTGAGGGAACTGCCTCTTTCCCGCTCACACTCATACCCTCTGCTCACTCCACTCACCCCCATTCCCCTACTCGCCCCATCAGAGCGTGGTGCACTTTGTGCTGCACACGTGCGAGTCAGAGGACCGTGCCAAGGCCAACTGTCTTTCTCCCTTACTCTTCGACTTCCCCCAACTCACACCCATCCCACTCTCACCCTTCCCCCATCAGAGCGTGGTGTGTCTTGTGCTGCATCTGTGCGAGTCAGAGGACTGTGCCAAGGCCTTCACACCCCCCCCCCCTTGACCTCACCCCTATCCCCTCGATGCCCCATCAGAGCGTGGTGTATTTTGTGATGCATTTGTGCGAGTCTGAGGACTGTGCCAAGGCCTTCACACCCCCCCCCCTTGACCTCACCCCTATCCCCTCGATGCCCCATCTGAGCGTGGTGTATTTTGTGATGCATTTGTGCGAGTCTGAGGACTGTGCCAAGGCCTTCACAGCAAACCAGGGCAGATGGACTCATCACTGTGAGGCAGCCGCCTTTCTCCTTACTCACACGCGTCCCATTCTCAACCTTCCCCCCATCAGAGCGTAGTGCATTTTGTGCTGCACACGTGCAAGTCAGAGGACCGTGCCAAGGCCAACTGTCTTTCTCCCTTACTCTTCGACTTCCCCCAACTCACACCCATCCCACTCTCACCCTTCCCCCATCAGAGCGTGGTGTATCTTGTGCTGCATCTGTGCGAGTCAGAGGACTGTGCCAAGGCGTTCACACCCCCCCCCCTTGACCTCACCCCTATCCCCTCGATGCCCCATCAGAGCGTGGTGTATTTTGTGATGCATTTGTGCGAGTCTGAGGACTGTGCCAAGGCCTTCACAGCAAACCAGGGCAGATGGACTCATCACTGTGAGGCAGCCGCCTTTCTCCTTACTCACACGCGTCCCACTCTCAACCTTCCCCCCATCAGAGCGTGGTGTATTTCGTGCTCCATTTGTGCGAGTCTGAAGACTGTGCCAAGGCCTTCACAGCCAATCAGGCGGACTGTGAGGCGCTAGTGGCAGCGCTGGTGGTGGCGGCACAGGCAGAGAATCACTATGCACCCATCGCTGTTCTTGTTCGCCTGGCTAGCCGTCCTACCACCCGGTAAGCGGTGGGGGATGGGATGGGGCTGTTGTGTGCTGCTGTATATGCGTGCGTGTGTATGCAAGGGGTTTGCGTGATTTCACTGGGAGTGTCTGGTGGCAGTGGTCGTGGTGACAGCTCTGACAGAGAACCACTATTCGCCACACTATTCGCCAATCGCTGTCGTTGTTTCTCTTGCCAGCAGGCCTGGCACCTGATGCGCTCTTGTGTGTTCTCCTGTGCATTGCTGTGTGTATCAAATGGAAACTGTGGACTCTCGCTTACCGCCCCTTCTTTTTCACCCACCCTCCAACCCCACCACCTCTCCTCCCTCTGCATCTTACGCTTCTTCCGCCTCTACCCCCTTCACAGGGACCAGGTGCTCACACACATCGACACCAGAACGCTCAATCGCTTGCGCGCTATTCCTGGCACCCGCGCTCGACGAGAGGTGAGCTCTGATTCTGACTCTTCCCTGCTGACTCTTCCCTGCTGCTCCTTTCCCAGCATTCTTCAGTCAGCCCTTCATCCCCATCACCACCCCCCCTGACCCCCCCTCCTGCTCTGGTTGCATCCCTCGATTGCTGCCTTACCCATACCTCCCTTCCTGTTTCCCTCGTTTCATCCCTCCTTCATCGATGGTTCATCTCATTCACACCCCGACTTCCAACCCTGCCCAAATATCACACCCTTCAAGGTGCCTCAAAGAGTACTCAAATAACACTCCCATTCCCCCTCTTTATCTCGCTTCGCCTACAGGTTGATCAACTGGCTGCAGCATATGCAGAGTACAAGGGAGAGAAGCCCCCAGAGCGCACAGCATCCATGCCATCGGAGGAGGAGCAGTCCAAGGAGGACATTCTGAGAGACATTGTACGCAGCCAGTCCCACAGGAGCCTCAAGTCAAGAACTGCAGGGGATAATAGCTTTGAAGATCTGGCAGGCGCCGCTGCAAGCGCGGCGACAGGCGTTGCCAAGATCACTGTAGAGGAGTCGACAGATGCTTGAAGTGAAGTGAACTAAGAGAGTATTGGTTTGGCCGGGAGTAGTGGAAAGGCAACCCCGCTACGGTGTTTTATTCCCTGTACTCTAGGGAATCTTCGTCTAGATAGGAAAATAGGGTGCTTGTGAATGCAGTGGAGTTATGTTTTTGTGTGTGTGGTTGAGTGGAAGGTGGTTGAATAAGGTTCATTCCTGCCACTTCCTGCATGATAGTGCATGCAGAGTGGTTCGTACGAAAGCGTGCACAGGACGGGTGCGTATTGTTTGCTACCGTTGAGGGTTAGGTCCAGGGTCATATAACGCTGTGTGGAAGAGTTGATTCTTGACTGAAAACAGCTATTTCCAAACATTTACCCAATTATGGAACTTTGAAAAGAACTTGCAATAGTTGAAGAAGTGTCGTGACATCGATAGTTCGACACTTGCTTTCCCCTCCTCTAACGGGTTTATCTTGACGAGCTCGGAAAATAGACGGCATCAATCTGACGATATCGTCCGACCTCTCGGATTTCACGGTTTGGCGTGTCTATCCACTCAGAGGGGCTTGTTTAGTTTTGCTTGACAACGTATTTAACCACTTTGTTCTCCCAGAGAAAGGTTTTGAACCGTAACCAACCAGTAAGTATCCTGGAACCGCACAAGTCGCTGCAAGACATGATCGAAGGCTTCTTTGTGGGATTTGGAAATTGGGGAAATTCCTCCAACCCCATTGCTGCTGCTGGTTGTTTTCCTGTCATGGCTTGCAGGCCAACGCGGCATCGGAAATATCGATTAGATAGCGACATTGCTCTTCGAGAATAACGTCGTTGTTACTTGACGAATGGCGATAATTTAGCCAGGTTTCAGTTTCGTGGACCATTGAGATTCCCAACAGTTTTGACAAGAACTCCTTATCTGGTTTTCTGCTTTCACGGAGCTGATGTTGCATTCGAGGCAAGCTGGCCATGAGCTTAGCCTTACGATCTGACGATTCCAATATCACGGACGAGTGTTCCTTCGCCATTTCCGATGCAGAATCGAAAGCCCAGCATCAACGTTTTCCAGGACGGCGGGTTCTCACTGGTCCCCTTAAAAAATGGGTTGTCGCCATTATCCATTTTCACATATTGCTGCAGGAGAAGCCTGTTACCTTCTAGACTGGGTTTACTTGTCTTTCGAATACTCCAATATATGCAGCCTTTTCCGGTCAGAATTTCTCGCGCAGCGAAGCTCGTTTCTCGTCAAGGCCTTTCATTCTACGCTTTGGAGGAGATACTCGCGTAGTCGTTTCACGTCCTCGTATTCAGGAAAAACGAAAGGAGCTTTTCCAGTGAGCAGTGGTTTGGTTCATGGGACCGGTGAGACGAAGAGGAGAGGCACTGCAAGGAAAATTGCAAGAAACCCCGGTGGGGAAATCACGCTCAGACGTTTGCCATAAGTTCGCCAAGTCGGGAGGTGCAGCTTCTTTTTCAGATAAGTCAAGCAGTGACTTTGAGATGGAAGCCGGTAAACCACAGCGAAAGAAGGCATCAGGTGCTACAGCAACTTCAACAGCAACAGTCCATGCAGCAGCAGATAAGGGGGTACCAACAGGACAATTGACGGCTAAGCCTGGGGAACTGATATCGCTGATGGACGCGGAAGCTCCACCTACCCCGCCGCCTTCTCATGAGCATCCATTCCCAACTGGAGCAGCAGATTCACCTGCAACTCCTCTCAGCGTCAATTCCTCTGTGTCTTCTTCAGCGACATCCTCGTTAACAGCAGGAGGCTTCTCTATTTCAATTTCGGAATCAGAGTCCGGTGCAGGTGTTGCAGCACCGGTTCCGTCATCCAGAGATTCATCCTCGTTATTGGATCTCAACGTGGACGTATATGGAGGCATGGACCAGCTGTTCCTCAAAGCAGCTGGCATGCGCAGTGACTTCGCCATCACGTTTGGCGCTACTGTCAATTACCAACTTCACAAATTCCCCCTCTATTCCAAGGTAGAGGGACCTCCTACCCTTGTCAGAGTGAACCTCGGTAGAGTGTGTGCATCTTTAGCTTGACCGCAAATCTGTTTGAACTTTTTTCTTTTCATCATTTCTGTCGTTGAACCTTCATTTTATTTTCTGTGTCATTGTCAGACTGACTATTTCTCCAAGCATGCTGTGGAGGAGGAGAGGAGCAGCTCCAGGCGGAATTCTGGAGACCCAGAGAGCTCCGCCAATGGGAAGCGAGCTCGTCTTGACCTCTCCAACCTCCCAGGCGGAATCGAGACATTCAAACTCGTCGCATGCTTCTGCTACGGCGTTCCCATTACAATCACCCCTGATAACGTCACAGCTCTCTACTGTGCAGCGATTTACCTGGATATGAGAGATGACCCCCGAGCTGCCATGTGCGGTGGTCCCTATGACTGTAACCTGCTTACCCTAGCGTCTCGCCACCTCACCTCGTATCTCTCTCACCCACGGGCTGCTCTGACTGTGCTTCAATCGTGTGATGCCAGCTCAGCGATCCGGGCGAGTGCAGAGTCAGCAGGGCTGCTGCTGACCACTGTGAACGCGGTCGCACGATTGGTAGTGAAAGAAGCGGGGAAAGGTGTCGACGCTTATTACGGTCCTGATGCTGCTGCTGTCGAAACAGATAAGGCAGGCAGGGAAGAGAAGGACAAGGATAAGGTTGCAGATGGAGCTGCAAGTGAAGCGGAGGAAAAGACGGACTCGGCTGGCGCAGGACCACTGTGGCTGTCACCCCAGTTGCTGCAGCTGTCCCTCCCCACGTTCGTCCAGCTGCACGCTGCTGTGAGGTGAGCTGTGCCAAGAGCGGTGGGACACCGGACACCCACACCACTTCTCTCCCCACACCACTTTTGGCTTCTCAATTCCCCCACCCATCCAACCTGAGAGTACGATTGTTGTGCATATATGGCCTTTGTTAGGGTTGTAGTCTCTTCTTCAACCTCTCTCTTTCCCGGCCCCTCTTTTGTCTGTCCCATCCATTGTTGTCAATTCTATTGGCGAACCCGTTCATCAGCGCCATGGGCATGAGTGTGCTGCATCTCAGTGACGTCTCATGATGAACCGGGTGCATCTCAGTGCCCTGCTGCACCTGACGTCTCCGCTTCATCCTCTCATATTCCGTGCTCCTCTTCTTTTTCTCTCCCCATCCATCCTTCTGCTGCTTATCGTTGTTGCTCCCACTCATCAGCTCCCTGGGCATGAGTGCGCTGCACCTCTGTGCTCTGCTTGAGGCCTACTGCAACACGTGGCTGCCATTCCCTGTGGTCAGTTCTTACGATTTCACTGCTGTCAAATTCTGTCAATGGGTTCGTTTGCACTCACACAGTCTGTCCTTATTACTTCGCTTCCAATGGTCGCGTCGACACTTTCAATCACCAGTCAATCATTCCCTAAGGCTTGTTCATTAATGGCTTGTTCATTTATTACTTCGTCTCGCCTGCGTGAAAACACTCTTGGTGATGAAATAACTGAACTACGATTCCTGCTTTTCCCAACTGCCTTTTCCCTCCCTCCGTCAATCAGGACGTCCCATCCACGTCCACGTCACCTGCAGCCACGTCAGCAGACGCCCAGACTACATCCACGTGGAAACCAACTCTAGAAGCAGCAGTAGCGCTGCTTTTTGCACTCTCAGCTGGGCCCTCCGCAACAGGGCAGGCTGGAAAAGAGGCTGTGGGGCTGCCGTCCATTCAGCTGCTGGTGCGACTGCTGCGCCTCTGCCCTGAGGTGGATGCCAGCGATTCTGCCAAGTCGCACCTGCAAACGTAAGGAGTTGCTTGTTTGTTGATCTTATGTTGAATTCACGTATGGTCATTGCTTCGTGATCATCAACCATTGGTCTTTCACCTCATCTGCACTCCCCTCCTTTGCAGCATGATCGGCCGTCGGATCACCGAATGCCAAGTCGATCACCTGCTTCCTCTACCCCCATCTGAGATCCTCGCTCTCCTCGCGATCTTCACTTCAAGCACGTCTGAGACAAGCGCTGCTGCTGCGACAATCACTCCCCCAACTGGCTCCTCTGCTGCAGCTGTGGAAGGCACAGGCGGTGCCAGTCTCTGTCAGGCTGCATCTATCGTGGACAGTTACTTGAAGGTGCGACACTATACCTGTATTAGCCTTCCAGCATAAGAGCATGCATAAGTTTTGCTGATTCCATTGCTGTGCCCATACCCCGCAACCCCTACCCCCCTTCCCCCCCCCTCCACCACTTACTTAAATGCCTAAATCAAGCTCTTCCCATCCATTCGCAACCGGCTGTTTGCTGAATCTCATGTTCGTCTCTTGTGTTCCAACTCGTTACCACCCACCCCGCTCCAGGCCATCTCCACCTCGCCCAGCAGCAGCAGCATGAGCCCTGACTCCTTCATATCCCTTGCAACCGCACTGCCTCTCACCTGCCGCCCCTCGCACGATGCTCTCTATGAGGCGGTGGCAGCTTACGTAGCAGCCAGGGGATGGGGGATGGGGGGGTCTGGGAATGGTGGGGGGGAAGGCGGTGGAGGGGGAGAGAGAGGCGGCGAGGAGGTTAAACTCCTTGTTGGCCTGATTCAGCCTGAGAAGCTTTCAGGTAACTGTGCGATACAATATTTTCTGTGTTATCCTAATTTTGGGCTACCCACTCTGAAATCTTGCATCTGACTAGTTTTCTATCTTTTCCCATCCCACCATCCATCCCCTGTCTCTCAACCCTACACCCATCTTATCCCCCTTTCACCTCCCCATCTCGTCACCCCACTCGTCATCCCATACGCCGCCATCCAAATCCCCCCCCCCTTTTCTTCTCCTCCCCCCCAACCCCCCTCCCCATTTTCCATCCCATCCCATGTACCGTCTATGTCGGTCAGAGCCAGTGGCAGATGCTGCGTCATCCACCTCTCTCTGGCCTCCCTCTTTCACCGTAGCAGTGCTGGCATGGCAGAAGCACGTAAGCCACCCAAGTTTTAGCTATATTCTCACAGGATGCATCTGGTAACATGTTCGTACACTCGTTTCGTCACCTGGATGCATTTTACTCCC